TAGCGGTCCATCCTTTCGGCTTCGTTCGCCTTCGATCTTGTGCTGGTTCGCGGGTAAGAGTGTAAAGTGTGCTGTCTGTGGTAAAAGTGAGGTTTTGATAGTCTTCGAATTTAAATATCTCGCCATCAGGACCAGTCCTTTATATGTCATCCTCCCAGAATACCTAGGCCGTGCCGCAGCTGCCTCAAAGGGACACGACCGCAGAGCCAGTGCCTCCATTCGCAAGGAGCCACGGTCCGATGCCCAACAGACCGCCCATGCCGGCAGCAACCAGCGGGTACTGCACGGCTTGTCCGCGATTGGCCCTTTCCCTGGTCCGCGAATCTCTCGACGGTCAGCCAACACGAATGTTGTCGGGTTCTGCGCTGGCCGTCGCTGCGCAAGACATGAAGTCGGGAGATGCAGCCCTGATTGGTTGGGCTGACGTCTCCATGTGCATGCCAAAAGCGGGCCGTCCTGGGGTCGCTTAAACGTGAGATGAGCGCCCCACATCGTCTGTGCCGTGGCACTGGAGAGGTTGCAAGGACGATGCAAGATTTGTCGTTCCCACTCCCCTCCAACTTTCCCCGATCAGCTCACACCCATAGACATGTCGTCGGCCACACCCCACCATTTCAGCATGCGCACCCCCAGTCTCACTCCCCCCTGGCAGGTTTCCAAGCCCCACATACCCTATGTCCCTCACTCTGCAGAGAGGCTCGAGCGCTCGGCTGCCCACGCCTGCCCTCAATACACCCTGCAAGGCTGCCCCGATTGGGCCTCGGCTCAAGATGCCCCAGTCCGGGCTTCGGCGCTGTTGCGAGTGGGCCAGGCCTTCCGCCATTGCGTCCGCAGAACGCCCTCTATCAGCGCAACCAACTTGTCGAACTGTCATGGATGCCCCGAGATGGCCTTTCATCAGCTCGATTACTTCGTCATGGAGCATGCTGGCGATAGAGAACCTGCACTCAGATAATCTATTACGCACACTGTCCTATTCTCCCATCCAGAGTGACGAAGGACATCCCCGGCAATCACCGGGACGGCTTGAAAAAAATACAGATATGGCCTTGGGTGTAGGTTACACTCCGCCGCCACAATGCCTTGAGTACGCCTGGCTTCGATCTACACATCCAAACAGCCCCCGTGCTTCTCAAGGGCAACGAGACCGACGGCTGACACAAGACCGGCGTCTGATGCAACGAGACCGATCTCTGTTACGGAACTGACGACGATGCAACTCTTGCTCACGCATCTCGCCAGCCGATGAGCGAACTCGTTTCGATCCAGGCTCATCTCCGAGATCTTCTCTGGATCTCTTCATTCGCGGTCTGCTAGCTCGAATGGCATGCCTATAATCGTCAGCTTCCCGCGGTCAATTGGTGGGACCAATCCTACAGGAACATCTTCACGCCTTCTTCTGGTTGAAAATTGGCCCAGGTAGAAAGGTAGCTATCCGCTCCGTCTCTGATTGGTCGTGTGCTCCACGGATCTCCGGTTTGAAATGTTCGCGCCACCGTTGATGCGCTGGATATGGAAAATGTCCTCATGGACTGAGGCACAAGCCCAGCTTCCTCCATCATTCGTTCAACGTTCTTTATCATTTTTCCATGGACATTATCTGCGCGTAGTTCGGCCAGCATTTCGTTCGTTGGAGGGTTGTCGTGGGACTTTTCGGATGTTGCAATTAGTCCGCCGAATTGAATATCGATAACAGCCCCGGGATTGAGAGACCTAATTCGAGATTGGATCAGCAGATGTCTCATAGGGTAGTCTGGCAACAGCTGTACTCAGAGAGATCTTGGAAGATTCGCGACGGAACTGTTCTTCCGGAGATGCAAACGCAAACGTAGTCATGCAAAGAAGTAACGCCGAGAGCCCTTCCGTATCTGTGCTTGTCAGTCACATCAACTGTGCGCGATCGATCAACTGACTTACCCGCAATCTGTAAAATCAAAGCCAGGCGATTCCATATTGATGCGGGAATCACCAGTCACGAATTTGTTGTATTTGTCGCTGATGATAAACCTTGCATAGTTGATTGACTGAGTGTTCCAGTCTCCAATCGACTGGGCGTCCCAGTACTTTCCATGACGCTCTAACACGTCGAGAGACAGTTCGCTAAAATCCTCTACGTCGGAGACGCCGGAGTCGTAGGACGCAGATGTTCCATCGTCATAATATGACGTTGTATCAAAGCCATAACATGATAGTGTTTCGTCGCCGTAACATTGAGTCTCTTCTGCCATGATATTCGGACAGCTTAGTTCATCGAGACTGATGCGATCTCGATGCATCATTCCAGCTCTCATCAGGGCTATGACGGCTTTATAAGAAGCTGCTACCGGTGCACGGTCTCGTGTCATCCCGTTCTCTAGTATGTGAGTGGGCCTCGATCGTCCCTTGCTGGGTCTGGCCTGCCCAAGGACAAACCCTTGGCCAACATGAGCTGCTTTCAGGGGTTTTCGCAACCAAACCACTCCTAACAAGCAACCTTCAACGCATTCAGGGCATTTCTATCACCTCGTCTCATTCAAAAGCTATGCCAACAACGCCACGCTCCTCGCTTGATACCCATCTCGGCCGCGACGAGATTCCAAGGGAGCTGTAGCCGGGTGACAAAGAACGAGAGACCAGCCGCCGCCTACCTGGTGCTTTCTTCCTGAGTTTCTGATACATCAGATTTAGCACTCTTGAAGCTCGCCTTGTAATTGTTTCTTCGGGTGCTGTACCTCCGACGCCGCTGACATCCTACATCCGATGCCCATTGCTGCATCAATGACCATGAAATCATGCTCGAGACGACCGAAGTCTAGCCGCTATCGTTTTGGCGTTGCTTCTCCGCTTTGTCAGCGAAGCAGTTTGGAAAGATCCTGTTTCACAAGCAAAGCTGCCACCCCATCTTTGTCGCAAAATCAAGTAATGTAATTGACGAGAGTTTTGTTGCGAGTGAACAATATGCTCACAAGAGACAATGGCTTCCACATATACCACGACGAAATCTGTGTCGCTTGCATGTGAGAACGATCTTGACGAATTCGCGTGATTAAATGAAGTGCGCAGCGTTCGCCCCGAACCACTTTTGGTACTATATGCCCTACTTCGTGGACTCGCCGGCGAGCACCCTTGCAACGTGATGTGTGATGTGTGATGTACGCAAGCAATTGGTAAGAACAAATACCAAGATGACACTGTGCATCACTTGCAGGCGAGAAAGAATATGGCAGCTTCGTGTAATGCAAACATTTGCGCAGTGTTTATTGCAAGGTGTCTTTCTGTAATTGTAGTTCAGAAATGCTATGCCTCGTGAACCCGAAGGCGACTAAGCACTGATTCCTGCCCCGCAGTCATCTCCTCAGCCCTTCAGTTGCAAAGCGAGGTCACCGCAATTTTTTCGGGACGCCGTGTTGCCGATATGCAATGGCTTGAAGACGATCAGCCACAGATCTTTCGCCGAATCATGAGGAGAGACTGACCATTTGCAATACGCATGAAAAGAAGGGTGTGAGATTTCTGATTTCGCTGCTTCCACAAGCTTGTCATCCAGTCTATGTCGCGCTGGTGTCTCGCGCCCGATGGGTACATTTGCTTCTATAAACTGGATCATCGTCGATGCGAGCCAATCTCCCAGCAAAGGCTTGTTCTTGTCCGGGTGATGTTTGATTGGAAGCTTGTGGGTGGTAAGCGTTGTTTTCATACCAAGGTTCTGGATATCTTGTTCGATGTTGGAGGAAACGCTACCGATCGGTTCTTCTGGTGTTTCTGAAGGTTCGTACAAGATCCGAGATAGTTTCAGGAGAGGGGATGTTTCGGGCAGGCTACCCTCGTCGGTGAAAGGAATCATCTCGACTACTTCTATGTGGAGCACACCTGCAGTTGCAAGGCAACTTTGCACGTTCCTGAGATATTCTGGCCAGTTTTCTATGTACCCGATCACTCGAGAATGGATCAGATCGTACTTTCGCTCCTTCCACATCATGCTCGGGTCGACTTCAAGACAGATGTCATCGTCGAGCGAGTCTCTGCAGGATTGTCAGTTCTGTTCTTTTGGTGGACCTCCCCAACATACAGTCGGGGATGGAGCTGAGGGTCACGATATCCTATAAATTGTGCATTCGCAAGTCCGTTAGTAGCCCTCATTTCGGCGGCTCGAGTTAGCCAAATCGCGCTGTTCGTTGGGAAGTCTGCGGCAAGTTTGACTTCCGGCACTGAAGACCAAGATTGATGTCCGAAACCAATTTCTAGAGTATGGTTTAGCAGGTCCCATGCTTTCGCGAGGGTGTCCTGTCACAGCTGTCAGCGTCAGCGCGAAGGGGGTAGGGGTGCCCGGAATGGGTCGCACGTTTTTCGGGTACTGTCGTGTAGCAGATGGTACAGCCATTGCGAAGTCTGGCACAGAACTGCTTTCGAGATAAAGGAACCAAGAACAAATGACAAGGCGCTCGATCTTGTGCACAGTGGTTTCAGGCAAGCTTTTTGTGTCTTGCGAGCCCGGCAAGCCATCAGATTCTCCTTGATGAACATGAGGAAAATCATGAGCTATGAGATTTTTCAGACCCGTGCAGGCGGTCCCACAGGTGCTCGGCGTCATGTGATGAAAATCACAACGTTTTCCCTGATTGATGAGGCTTTTCTGCAGGGGATATCTCGAAGGCCTGGAAATCAGGTTTGTCGGCTCCTCGCTCGGCCTACGCATGAACTCCGTCGCAATCTCGGATCTCGCAATCCGGGGGTTCCAACGGCTGTTGGAAAGCTACCCTTCAAGGTCGCAAGAGAAATGGCATAAGGAATCGAAGCATCTAATCACAAAGGTCCTAGGTTCCACTAAGAAAGCAACCGGGGTAATCAAAAGCCTAGATTTGTTCCTGGTCACAGCTACAGCCCTCGCAGTTTGAACTGGTGGGAATCCCTGAGTCGAAGCGGCGAAACCCTCTGCGTAGCCGCGCGCTCACCGAGCTCCTGCTTGGGCGCGGACCCAATCGTGAGTGGATGAACCATCGTCTCAACACCAGACGTTGAGCACCAGCAAAATACTTCGAGAGTCAAATGACAATCGCGTTCTGAACGAATTGTCTCAATTCAGGGAACCATCTGCTGGGAAAGGTACAATCCGCTTGTGTGCCATCCGTGGTATGCACTTACCACATTCAGCTGAGTGAACTAATGATCCAGGCCGACCGCAGGAGTTACAATCTTTGTGGATTGTAGCGCATAGCAGTGGGATTATGGACAGGAAAGGAGGTGTGTCACTTTGGAGCATGCCTGACTGACCCAAAGCAAGCGTTGGCAACGGGTGCGGTGCGACACCAATCATCTTTCCCTTCTTCCCCTCTCCATCAAGCTCTTGGCAGGATCTCGAGCCATATCCTTCCTAGCAACTGACTGGATCTGTGAACGTGGTCTAGGTTGCTTCTATAGCGATACTCATTCACAATGTTTCACGTGTCGTAAGGATCTCCGCGGTCAATGGCCAAAAGACCAGATCATCGCATATGGGAGCCAGGATATCAGCCATACGTACCTGTTCAACTGCCCCGAGCTGTCCACCAAGTTCCCATACGCGGCCCTGTTGCGACTCAACGGACGAAAGAGGCCGCTTGGGCATTTGCAGTCGCACACGGACTTTTCGGTTCATGAGTCGTAACGATAAGAGAGGGGTTTCCGCCGTCGGGCTAGTTATGGTCTTACTGAATCCCTTCCAAGCTCTCATTTGGGTAAGGATATTGTTTCCTCGCGCAAGTTGCAGCAGCCAGCAGGGGGTTTCCCATGCACCAGTCTAGCTAGAGCATTCCAGGCTTTCACTTTGAATTTCGTTCGCGGCCTCGGGCCACACCTGGGTCTCGAAATGGTCAGAGAACCCGATCAGTCTACGGGCGTCCTTTGCGCCCGCTCTGTGTGAATCGTTAGCGATAAGTTACTCGCCTCCCTAAGGCTTAGCTGAAGCGGGGAGACCGGCCGCCATGGACGTAAGATTCGAAAAGAGCAAGACGTGGCTTTCCACACAGCTCTGGTGCTCAATGTCCAACAGAAGCTAGAAGTCCCGACTCATTGTCCAAGATTGCCGCATTTCTCCCTCCTTTTCCCTGGTTAATGGTGAAGGCTCTGCCTCTCAGATATAAGCCTATCCCGCTGAAAATACACCCTGTAGCCTGGGAAGTTAATTTGTGACAGCCCATAGAGTATAGCAGAGTCGGGTCCGCCAGCTCAGAGCATTGGGCTTTGCCTCGGCCGTTGTCGCCAAACCTATTGTTGAGGAAACCGCACAGTCAGCTCACCATGTCTAGAGGTCGTGCTTAAGGCGTCTTAGTGCGTCCCGCGCACTAGATTCGCACTAGATTAGTACAGGCCGCCAACAGGCGTGAGCAGGAACGACGACCTCGTTCAATCTTACCGGGTTGTCGACGGCCGGCCCACACAAGTCAGGCACCGAGCGTTCATACATCACGCGGAAGTCACATGCGCTGATCACAGCCTGCCTCTTCATCCGGTTTGTCATGTTCTGTACGAAGAAGTGTCTTACTCGCCGTTCCCGTCGTCGTTGACGTTTCTTTGACATTCCGTTGTGACACCGACTGCGACTTCAACTGGACAAGTGGGCGGACTTTGGCCGCCTCGACATTTCTGTTCGATGCGGCGCCTGACTGGAGATATTGCGGAAGCGAGAAGCGAAGGTGCATCATAAACAGTTTTCTTAGGGCTGGGGTAGGCCGTCCCTTATCTGGCAGAAAGAAAGGGGCGAGAAATCGGGGGGTTGAATTTTGACAGGCGCCCCAAAGATCCTGCGCAGATGCGGCGGCAACAGCGTACCCCAGCTCCAGTGCGAAGTCCTATAGGCTGTAGCTGAAGATGCCTTTGAGCGCATGGCGAATAGGGCACGATCTTTGGGGCGTATTACAAAAGCACCATGCATTATACCTTTCTTTCGTAACGCGTGCATAGTCCCGCGTCGTCGAACACATCATGCCTTCGTTTGCCGAAGGCCACAGATCCTCGCCTCAAGCCTGCTGCTAACAATGGATCCAGTTGTTCGAGTCACTACACGCTGCCCAGATTGCTGTGTGGCCAGATGTGGGCTGTCAGGGGGGATCTAGGTCATTGTACACCGCGCCCAATTTATGCGCGCAAATGCAGAATGTTGTCAAACTTCTCAAAGTGACTGCCATCGGAGACGCCATCCGTCATTGGGTTGTCTATCAACGATGGCTGAGAATGATGAAGACCAATACAGCAGTCGGCCCCCCTACGAGCTACTTTTACGGCCACCCTGACTGCAGGTCTTAGCTAGAGCCTATGATGAACGTGGATTTGAGACAGGCGAAGATTGGTTCAAATTGAACGTGCCCTGGAGCAGCCGGGCTATGTTTGTTTGTTTGTTTTATATTTAACGCCATGGCGGCAAGGGCGCAGTCGCCCTTGCGGCAGACCTCCCGAAGGGTATGTGGCGTGGAGGGTCGTAGGCTCCAGCTATATACAGTACACGCCGTACCCTGACGTCCTCCAAATCCTGCTCGTGAGCTACTATGTGTTCTATCCATCCCTAGTTCCCACTGGTTCCCTAGGTCCGTTATAGCCATCTGGTTTCCTAATAGAGGTAGTGTGCCGTTTGGAGGATAGGTTATGGCCTATCTCCTAGTATCAAGGGCAGATCTTCTGGAAGAAGTCTGTCACGCAGAGGAAGGCCTGAAAGCCTTCAGAGTCATTCATTAGCCCCTTGAAGTAGCGATTGGGGGACCCTATAGGTCCTACGGGCTCCTGGCAGCTGTAGGGGTGAGGGTGGGCCACTGTTGCCTTCTCAGTAGGGTCTTCCGGCAGTAGACTAGATGGTCTACCTCCTTAGCCTCTCCACAGGAGCAGGTGAGCAGTGCTTCTGTATGGTTAAAGCGTTGGTGATACTGTTAAAAGTCCCCGTGGCCTGACCGCGCTGCGAGGAGGTGATGAAGGGCAGCGCTAGGGAGGCCAAGTTCAGGAGGGCAAGCAAGGGTGGCCTTGAGTCCTAGTTGGGTATAGCGGGGGGTTGCCTCTTGTCTCCACCATTTCCTATGTTGGTGCTGTTTGCGCACTTGAGCAAGCCGTTTGATTCCTTAAAGCGTCGCTATTAGGCCTCTGGTTACTGGCAGTGTTGTACCCTCCTTAGCGAGGCTGTCTGCCTCTTCGTTCCCCTTTATCCCTTGGTGCCCTGGGGACCAGTGGGTTTGTATGAGCAGCCGGGTCAGAGACAAGGTGGGAAGTTGTCCAAAACAAAACACCTTGCCCGGCCTCACTGCATGCATGCCTCTTCATTGGTCCGATTTCTCATGGTAATGGTCAAACACTTCAGACAAATCCCAGCTCATGGAAGTCGCCGGTTTGGCACGTCGCCTTCACGAACCGCAGCGACATGTGGTAAAAATGGTGACTGAGGGGACTGTGAGTGGCTCCACCGCAAAACCAATCACATCATCTTCTTCGGCCTGGCTATCCAGTCATTCCACTGGCCACCACCCACCAGTGGCCACGAGAGTCGGTCCCAGTAAGCGATGGCTCCCAACAAATTCCGCCCTCGACTCTATAGTGTTCAGGATGCGGTCGACCGTGTCCGTGGAAGCCGCGCTCTTCATGTATCCAGACTGCGTGATACCTCCAAGTGCCGAATCCTGAAATCTCATCCGACACTGTGCTGCGCTGTTTCGAAAATGCCTGTGGTTTCGAGATCCAGCGAGCCCGCAGCTTTTGCCAGGCCAGCGATGCCCTCCGTTCGACATGCGGCCAGCGGTAACAGGATGGGCGTGCTATATTGCGATGTCCGACCGACACCACCACTTCGATGAGTGACTCGTGGCAAAGAACAACGACCTGCGTGCATTAGAGAAACCTCCAGTGACGAAGTATAGTACTCTTAACGTTACCTTAGTTGTGTTTACGGATAGGATAGAGTCTGGTTTCTTCCCGGGGCTTTTGCTGTCATGCTCAAGCCAGCGAAGTAAGCGGATAGTATTGTCGTCCATGGGTATCAGCAAGGACCTTCTCATATGAGATTTAGGAGTCTTCCCGTAGACGGAGGGGAGCGATGGCTCAGTTCCCAGTATCGAAGCGGGTAAAGGGCCTCATAAGGATTCACAACTTGATCGCCACAACATCCTAGCAGTCCGCAAACAGTACTGTAGTGTCCTGTGAATTGAGTTCAACCATGGATGGACTCGCCTCGGCCTCGCGCGAGTTGTGACGAGAAACCAATGTTGAACGCCCTAGCGTGGGGACAGTCACACTGAACTGTTGCTCCGCAGCCATCTGATGGTACTGATGTACGATTTACAATCTAGTAGAAACTCCCGACCGTCGATCGCAGCTCTAACCTGAAGCTTTGGGCGCAAGATCAACGACAGAGGTGATGTACAAACTTCCTTCAAAGATGCAGTTTTTGAAGCACCCACCATCAAGAACATGATATTTACAAAGATTATGAATCAAAATGATGCGTCCTGCTGGCTTTGAAGATGAGCCACTTGCACCCGAGTGTACGCAAAGCGTTCCAGAGCGAGATTGGCTCCTTGTCTACGGAGCCTTCCCATCGTCGCCGATTGTAGCGCAAAATGTTGATTGATATGAGTTGGGATTGCTGTTCTGTTCAGACAAACCACACCTACGACGAGGGACTGTTCTTACCGGTTGATCATAGGTTCCCATACAACCGGAGTGGATGGTTTGCATTCACCACAGACTTCTTCGTTGCGGTATTCGAAATGTGTAATGAAAAGCGGGCATCGTCGTTGGGTGTTTGCGTAGACTGGGCACCACTCCGACACAATATACCGGGTGTGACCGCAGTGGAGTTCGCGCTGGGTATAGTTGCACATCCCCGTCGTGTTCAGCTGGATGAGAAGTGATGGCTGCTAAATTGCTGTGAAGGGAGTGCGTGATGCATACATGTTATATAATGCGCGCGAGGGCGGGATCACCCACAGGCACGTTCGATCGCCCGCAGATCCATCTTTCCAATGATTGGCTTCACCCTATATCGATGTATGGGCTCCAGTAAGGAGCTGGAGACTGAGCGATCACAGTGATAGACGATCGAATAATGCAAATGCTCATGCCTCCCACGGGAGTGGATCACCTCCGTTGAATGACGTTCACTCGACATGCGGCAGCCCGGATGTAAAGAGCTGAATAGTAATACGAATGGCTGCTTCTAACCGGATTCACGACCGCCTCAGGCTCTCTACATGCGAGAGAATCGCATTGATGTCTGCGATACGATGAGCGACAGCACAGAGCCATATCACACTGCACCAAGTCTGCCAGCGCTCGGCGCGGCTCGAGAGGGTGGTGATTGGTCGGCAATCACAATCCCCCACGGAACTCCTGGCGGGGTCACTCAGGTGAGAAACAGAAGAAGACAAAAGAGAACAAGGACTGTTAAACCGCATGAGCCGCCTACTAACGCAGCACTCTTACGCTCTGGATGAAATCTGTGCAACCGCGTTGCATTAAGGATAGAACATCTTGCCTGCTGCAATCCAGCCGCGCATCTGGCCTGCATGCTAGTGCTAGAACGATGCATACTCTGGGTCTGATAGAGCCCGCATCGATCCGAACGGCCGCCTCTGGCCTCCATCGCACGATAGAGCCAGAGAGAAAATCATACAAGGATACTGTTCGCGCCATCACCGAGCTACAGGCAGGGTTGCGGACATGTTCCCCTGTTGGCCCGACGGCCGTGAAGCTTGCTCCCGTTCAACTCTCTGATGCACTCCACACAGGGAGTGACGCCAGGAACGCATCACCTTTGCGTTGATGGACCAAACGGACTACTGTCGGCCCCATCCTGGGAAGTCACTGCAGTGTATCTCCCGTCCGGAGCACTCCAACGCCAAGCTTGACCGTCGCGCGCTGCAGCAGCCATCGTAACTTTGGCTGGGAGACAGCGTCCCACATTATCTGAAGCGGGGGCGTCAGGGCTTGTCCAGGCTCGGTACACGAAGTCGGGCTTTGGAGATGTGTGATGCGTTGAAACATGGGAGGGCTTCTACCGGCTATTGTACCTTGCTCGCAATTCAGTCTGTGTCGTGGCATTTGTTTGACTTGAATTGGTTAGCCATCTCCACAGGGGTGCTCGGAGGCTCACCTCAGAAAGCTGCCACTGGCACGCAAGTATCCCGCGACATGCAGACGAACTGCTTAAACTGATGGTCATGAACGGATGCATCACATGTTTGTAGCATAATGCCATGTGCGTGCTCTGGTCTCGTCATGCGGAGCAATTGGCTTCTACCGCGTTCTGTGTCTATTTCTCCACGGGATAATTGCGAAGTCTCATGCCCTGCTTGAATCGTTAGGGTTTTTTCCCCCGTGCTCTTTTCTGCACTCTGGGCTTTACACAGGACAAATTCATTCCGTCCGGGTCTCAGGCGACAGCTCCAGGAAATGAGGGATGACTCGTCGGCAGTTGACGCAAGAATAAGCGAGTTTACCAATCCCAGTGTCATTCGCAGAGGAGGTAGGGCGAGATTTGCATGCCGTGAAGGTATCTTAGCTGGGAAGGACATCGCCAGTCTATGGAGTCGAAGGAGTTCAGACATGCGCTGAGGGGAATACTTGCGCCGATCATAGCTACAATGCGAACGCTCAGCTAGCCGGGTAGGGGTCTTATCCGTGGAGAAGCCAAGGCCAGCTCCAAAGTCCGTTGTAGCAGCCACCCTGGAAGGTGGACTTTTTTCCTCATTTCCTTCCACAGTAGGGTGGGTGCAGGTTGCGGGTACAAGCAATGGGACGCTGTTGGCGTGCAATGGAATAATGCCAGAAAATAGGCTAGCACAGCTGCTATGCATACATTTCAAGGCGCCCGCCCCACCGGCGTCAATCGCAGTAAGGCACATGTGGACAAAGCGTATCTTTGGAGACCCTAAGCCTATCTGGATGTCAGGACAGATCTTGAGTCCAAGTCTGGCTCAGTGTTGGCCAAGATCAATACACACAGGACGCCACGTAACCCACAGCAGAGGGGTGTGTTTAGGCTAGCATGCGGGAGCTAGTACCAGGTATCCTCAGTAGGGGGCGTGACAGATAAAGCAATTCCTCTAGTACTGCACAGACTAGGTATCCCCAGAAGCGCTAGGCTCTATGGGATGTCAGGACAAATCCTGACTCTCGAAGCGGCATAGTCAGTGAGGTCAGGGCCAATCACTGTGGCATGGCATGCTTACACACTGAGATGGGTCCCGTCCTTTACACCACGCCATCTGGCTTACCTCCACCCCCTCATCCTCACCCCCTCGTAGAAGTATCAGAAGTATGGAGACAATCCTGGCATGGGTTTGATTCGGTGCTTACCCTTACCAGTACTTGGCCTGGTCTCGGTGACCATTGTAGTTAAGGGAAACACCTAAATATATCACATATCAAGTCCTGTGCCTTTCCTTCTCCTCTATACTCTTTTCGATGTCAGGACGTGTCCTGACCCCAAAAGAGGAATGGTCCGCAGGATAAAACATGCACACTACACATGGGAATTTTTTTGCGCTCTTGACAACCTACCCATTCACAATGGACCAGCATCAATATTGTTTCAATCCACACCACGTCCAAAGCATGCACCAGGAAGAGGTGCTTCGCTATCGAATGGATTTTGAACCGTACCAATCACAAAATAATGCTTTGGCAAGATCATCCCTGACGATCGCCTCCTCAATGCCGTTGTCAGAGCCCCGACCGCTCTTTCCTCCTCCGATCCCTCCTACCCACCACAACCGAGTGCCGAATCCAAGCCCTACTCTCCCGCTCTCGCGCGGCTGGCACTTGCAGACGCCGGACAGTGTGAGGAGCAGACCAAAGAAAACCGGCCGAGCGAATGATCCGCTGCGTCTTCCCAAAAGACAGTATACAGTTTTCTTTCAAAGAGTTCCGGACACCGAAGACGGGTGGCATGAAGCGAGGAATCGGCTCGGCCTGACGAATCTCGAAGGCATCGCCAAAGCAATCGATGATATCATATGGTTCGGAAGCGATTGTCCAGAGTCCTGGATCTCCAGGGACATGACAGACTACATTGCGCATCGGGCGAGGAAAGCAGAGAGGATCGGTGGTTCCGATCGAGTCACATTTCTGTCCAGATATGGCCACGTAGTCTTCTTGGGTGAATGTTGCGTCGCCCGTCAACTCTTAACAAGTAAAAATTCGATCGACAGAGCCGTGAAAAGCTTCTTTGACAATACGATATCGTCAGCCAGGTCGTCGGAACGAACCTCCGCGAGTAGGAAGACACAGCAAATGTACGAGAAGGTTCCATTATGGATTACGCGTCAGCAGGAACTGCTGTTTGAGCGTTGTGGGCATCTTGCGTCAGAGATGTTCCTTCATGGTACGGCCATCAGTGAGAACCGAGTTTCTGTCAGTGCTGACCAGTTGCTGCTGCTTAGCTGCGATGAGTCTCTCAAACTTCGACAGTCTATCCAGGTCCGGGTCAGACCAGCGGTTTCGGGAAGACACCATGGCTAAGATCCCATCGAACATGATATCGTCGCCCCAGACCAAGCTTCCCTTCTATCTGCCATTCATCGTCTGGGCACGTATCCGCCTTCACACAGGCATTGATTGCCACGAGCAACTGGGACCCGCATTAGGTGCCACCAAGTTTACCCAAGCCGATTTCCAAAGATGGTTTGAAATCTATCAGCAGAACACAACAAAGCCTACGACAGGTAACAAACGTCCCCTAAGCGAAGTTCAACCTGAGCCGACAAGGAAACGACAGCGGACCGGCCCTCAAAGGCCAGACAGGTCACCACTTCATACTGCTGCTTCGGGTGTCTCAGGTGCTCTTGTACAGGCAGGCGATCTTGCCCTGTCTCTGCTCGTCGGCAGCAATGCAGACAAGGGCGTACTTGAGCAAGGGTTACAAAATCATCGATTACCTCAGATGCCTACTTACGGTGGTGCTGACCAGCTCACTCCGTCATTCGCGCTGGAGTTCGGCCGCGAAACGGCTTTTCATGGATTACAATTAGAAAAGCCTGCCGGCTATATGCATAATCTGACCGGCCCAGTCGATCAGCTCCCGGCCGAGCTCGAGAGCATCACAGCCCCATTCATCGGGTCGCGTTACGATGTAATAGGCGCAACCATTCCGTCGGAAAGTTTTTGGAGCGTCTTCGATTGGAATCAAATTAGCCGTCTTGAGCCGGCGTATCATGAGGACCGTGGTCGGTATATGAGCGGGCACTAGTGAGCCATCAAGTTCAATTTCGTTTACCTGCGATCTACGTGCGATGCTTCGTGTATCTCTATGTCATGCTTGTACTGCCATCCTCTTGAGCGTCGCATGCGCTTACGGCGCTCCGCTAAACAGGTTGCCATACTTCTCATACCCGCGATTCTCATTCGCTGCTGGCTGGGATTCGAAAACATGTCTTTCCATCAGGAAACGACAAGACGGATCCGTTATAAACAGGGAGCTACCAGCTGGAAGACGAAAAGGTGACTCAGTCTGCCACACGATTTCACGTACTTCCTGTCCAACTCGGTACGATGCCTTTGGCGAAGCGGAATCCTGGGAGCGATCTGCGCTTTTTAACGGAATGAATGTGCAAATAGAGTCCTCGGGCACCGTGAACTTTCCAGTGAGTCTGTACGGGCCGTAATTGGATGTGCCCACATGCTTTTTGCCCTTGCCTTCGACCATCTTCACGATCTCGCGTCCCTACCTCCTGTTAGGATCCTCTACTCACAGCAAGGGAGATATCCATACGTGGTCGCTTTTGAAAAGTTCCAATATTTCTCTGTGTATTGAAGTCATGTCCTCTTGTGACAAGCCCTGGAATCCAGGCACAGGGCTCGCCGTCCCTGGTGTGTTGTTTCGGGCCTTGTTTGACAGCTCAGGCTTGGCCGGGTGCACTTTGAATTGGTCCATGTAGGTTGAAAGTCGACACCTTCTCGCGACCAGTGTGCCTCGGAAGTCGCATGGCGAGTGAAAGGCTGTTGGTGATGACAAGGTGGCAACACATCTACGTGGCGCATACTCAAGCGGCCACTTTAGCTTCTTCTTCTCATGTCCCACATGGTTGTAGACGATGCGAGATGTGGCTGATCAAGCTCCTATTGGTGCCAGCGCAGCAAGGAAGATGGCCGTGCTGGCTGACAAAGCCGCACGCATCGGCATCGGGGAAACACTCGGACCGACGGGCATGTCGCGACAAACGCAACTAAACCCGACGTATCACTCAAGTTGTTGTTGGTTTGATGGCAAAACAACTTCGCTTGAGATCATAACGGCCTTCGTAAATCAAGATGTTCTCCTAGCTTTGGTCAGATTGTTCGCAGTGGATCACGGCGCAACGCTTGAGAAAATCCTAACGGCACCGAGCCGCGAAATGGCCCCTACGACGACGAACGACCGAGCCTCACAATTACGATCGTGTACGGACGAATGCGGGTTCGCGCTTGATACAGATAATTACGAACAAAGCTCGGAGGGCGATTGTAGATGCGCGAAAAACATGCCACGGGCAATGCGCATGCATGCATACTCGGTCGTTGGTCTGGGTTGGTGGACCATAGGCTTGAAAAAGCAGAGCGGGAGAATCATAAATATTTCACGCTGTCAGTCGATAATTACATCAAGTAATGGTTGTTCCGCTGTCTTCTCTTGCCAGTAATCTGTACCAATGCCCTAGTCCATCAAGGCGGCCTGATTACAGCCCATCTCACATCCCGATAGTGTTGTCTTCCTCAATCGAGACGAGCTGTGCTGCCTGTCGCTAGAGTCTTAGATTTTGGCGGTAGACCGAGGACAATGGTTGCGATGGGTCCTGTTGACCGCAATCTCTTACTTTGTAGACCGGCATCATCCACGAGCGCTGCGGGGGCGTATCATATGGTGCGCCGACCTCGCAGCTGCCCAACACGGCCTGGAGAGAGTTTTCGCAATGCTGAGAGCGGAAGGGTATAGTTGACCGACCTCTTTGCCGACTGGATGAGGCGGGAGAGGAACAAGTCTAATATATCGGCATCGTAGCCATTACAAGCCAAACGCTGGTTCATCTAGCCTTCACATCGAATTCAGTGTAGCTATCGTTCGACTAGTAGGAAGGCGGTCCCATATTTTGAAACGATTGTTGTGCCTGGATGGCTAAAATGAGTACAGCCATTGCGATACGGGCACTGCACAGGTCACCGGTCATGGGCCGGCTATCACCGTTGAACACCGTTCGGGACGTGGTGCGGGCACCAAGGTCGGCTGGCTGTACGTTTGGGACAGGTTTTCAAGCACAGCGTATCCCACATGGTGCCCAAATGCCATCGGATCGGGACCAAGGACTTAGATTGGCTTGAAAGGAAAACATCGTAATGTATGTATATTCGCTAAACCTTCTGTCTGTTTGTCATTCCATTTCCTCACGCACAGCTGCGAAAGTCAATAGCCTTCCCGGCTATGTGTTTACATTGGCTCACACCATTACATCCAGCCTCTGGTCAAGCCGACGGGTCTTAAACTCTTACACCATATTGGGATTGGTCGGGCTTTGGAATCGGATCAGAGGTGTCGAGCCTGGTAGAACCAGGTCAATCATTCTGGCTCTATTTGTTCTATAATGGAATTAACAGGTTTTCCGACCGGAACGCCTTCTCAATTACCTGGTACTCTTCCGGAGTTTCAACTACCACGGGTGTCAAAGTGCCTATATCTATAGAAGGACCTGTGGTGGTTGGCTCGTTCGAAGTAGGGCGGTCTGACATGGCAGCTTCTGATGCGCAGGAGCCTGTCCCTTTCTTGGATTCGTGGGAGGAGATTGCAAAGTTTGAAGTTAATGGGAATTTTAATTTGATCAACGATATAGAGTCGTGATTATCTAAACCCCCCGATTCAGTCATTGGGGATATTTGTTTGAACTTATATGCTTTCGGGTCCTGCAGACTTCGCAGGAATGTCAACATTACCACAAGCGTAAGGCTGCCCGCATAGCCAGCTTCGGGTGTCTTCTTCTATTGTGGCCAAGTCAAAAAGAGCCTGCCGGACTCAATATGTTGCCTAGCCTTCGATGCGTGTAGAAAACCGAGCCGCAGCTCAGACTGAGAGCGAGAGTGTGGCTCATGTACAACCCTCACCTAAATTACATAGCGAATTAGCGGAAATTGGGCGCCATCCCACCCTTGCAATGCGGCCGTTTATGTGGCCTACGACGAGGTCTCTTTGTGACTCTGAACAAGTTGGTTGACACATGTAGATCAAAGGCATGAGAACGTCTACGATGGAGAAGATTCGATATCCTGGTCTACGAAGTTGGTTAAGAGCGGGGCGGAACCACTAGGCTTACAGAATCAAAGCCAACTGGGCGACCAAAAGTAGTAGCCTACATGTAGAATAATTATAAAATTACAGACCAAGTTGGAGACATGATGGCAGGAAATATTGAAGAAGTAATTGCAATAGAGCGACAGGGAAAGTCCCGGCTGGGATTGCGGGTAAAATGGCAGGTAAAATGGTTGGCGAACTATCAGGTGAACTGCCAGGTGGTTTGCCGGATGGATAGCCGGGTGAACTATCAAGGGAATTGTCGGGCGAACGGCCACGTGAACTGACGGGTAAATAGACAAGTAAATTATCAAGTGGACTGCCAGATGAACTGTTAAGTGAACTGATAGGTAAACTGACAGGTAAATTGACAGGTAAACTGACAGGTAGACTGACAGGTAGACTGACAGGTTGGGGAAAGTGAGTGGGGTGGTGGGGAACCCTGCGGGATAAAAGAATTACCGAGAGAGGGGTTTCAGGTAGCATCGCTCATTTCGGCCCAATGCCCCTCATTCCTTTCGGTAGGACAAATATCATGACCTTTGAGAATTTATCGCATCAACGGCAGCAACACAGGAACATCACAAGTTATTGATCGCAGAATCCACGTTGCAAGACAAGGTAAGTGCAGTCACGACCGTATACAGTACGCTGTCCGGAAAACTGCTGATAGTAGCCAAAGCAGGGCGAAAACGCCCATCTAGTAACTCACCCGGCCAAAAAGCCTTGTCATGACGACGTATACGTTCGAGTACGGCAAAGAATTCCACGTCACTGGCCCGGGCTTTGTACACCTGGAAGAAGACTCGCTGGTCACGGCGGATGGGATGCTACTCTATCTCTATATACCCGGGCAACAAGCCGCACTGAACCTGGGCAGGTCGACCGAAAAATACGAGGTTACTAAAGGCTCGAAACTGAAGCTCTACCAAACAACTGCAACAATTTGGCGGAAAGAATGATGAGGATGTCTACGTGCGACTCAGTTTCACCTCGAAAGAGTCTTGGAACTGCAGATATCCAATGATAGCGAATCCAGGATCGTGAGCTACCCGGATAACGAAGGTGATATCCTGACCCTCTATATTGGGAATGTGCGCCGTTATGCAGTTCGTTTGTAAACTGCCGTCCGCCCTTTCTTTCCTCCACAAACTGCTGACTTCCAAAGCTCGTTGAAAGACACAACCCTCAAAGACGCCCTGCACCAGGTTGGCACTAGAGGCAGAAAATTGTTGAATCGATGCTGTGCAATGTGTTAGCTGGGGACTCAATGGGGAAAGGAAATAATTGTAGTACATCTTGCTTGATCACTTGTCTCGTTAGATAGTGCCTCTGACCAATCGTCTTGCCTTTCCTCAAGTGCCTCAATCATCTGTGAATCAAACCGAAGCGGCTCTACCGTCAGACGCGCCTCACCAAAGGACTCTTTACGGCGGCGTTTTCTGCCACAACTTGAAGTTGCTGCAGCATCGTCGCGGCAATCATCATGAAACGCGTTCGCTTCAGAATCGAGAAATTTACCTAGATAGGTGAGCTAATATCTTGCTTGCGGAAGTGGAATGTGTTACTGAGCAGTTCTGAGTTGGGACTTTGGTTCTTCTCGCATATCCCTTTTGCCGCCTGGACGAATGCCAGCCTTATCTTCGAGTTTACTTTGGTCCTGACAGTGGCTTTCAATAGGGCTGCGAGCGACCCCATCAACTCAGCTTCTCTGATGCGATCAAAGTGCAATTTCGACAAGATCGAACAAGCTACGATCAGGGTATCCACGCATTTGGTGCATTCGCCGTGAACGAGAGGGAGAAGAGCCTGGCCTTCGCGTGACCCCGAGATGATGTGATGAACGCCCTCTTCGAAAATAGTCCGGTGTCTTCTCTTCAACGTCCCCCAGGTTCGACCCATTAACTCATACACAAAAGCCTCGCAATCTCGTCGAACAGCCAAAAAGGCCTGAGACGACTTGAGCCTTTCATCATGCGTAGCAAGATCGTGCTTGACAGAAAAAAGTGATTCATAATCAACTGATAACGATGAGTTGCCAAGTGCGGAATCATCCATGGCTGACAATGTCTGCAGTGATAATCGCGTAGGTGTTAACCCGGGTAAAATGGCAGGTGAGGTGGCAGGTAAAGTGGCAGGCAAAACGACAGGTAATTTGACTGGCGAAAGGGGTTGTCTTATTTGAATGTTCAAAAGGTATTTCATGCCTCAGGCCAGAACAATGCTGGGTAATCTTAGTCAGCTGCAGCATGCCTTCCCCTGCAGTGCAAATAGGCCAAATGTAGACATGCTAGGTCTTCTTTCTCACGAGTCCTTGTTCGTTTCTAAGTACCAAATTTATGAAATGTGCAATTCGGCAGGTAACTGTTCAGAGTGTATTATGTAAGCACAGTTGTGTCATCACCACCACCCCAACTCAGACAAGCCACTTTAACCCATTCGATGTGCCAATTGCCGCGTGCCATAAGCTATGAAACCCTGTGACCGTCGGAAAAGTACACGCCATGGTTCACGAGATCTTCCGGGATCGGTCACGCCCGAGAGCAAGACAGAGGTTTATAGAGAGTATACGATATTTTGCTGAGGTCATGGAGGTCACAGTTTTATCATCGAGGCACTGCAAGATGGCTAGGTGGGCGAGGGCTCGTCCAGGAGTCGGGGGCAATTGGTTCGCGCGAGGGAGGTTTGCCTAAGCAGTTGGCGATACAGTGCTGGTGGGCAGTATGAGCCTCTCCAATTTCTCTGTGCCTGGTATACTTCAAGTCGGATCAAAGGGATATTAGCAGCGCCATCGGCATGTCTATCCGCATGCCGTGCCCTGATTGCTTGAGTCTATCTTGAACAGCACGTTAGACTACCACGCTTTGTCCGTACCGCCTCAAGACATAAGTGAAATGGCTCCTCAATATGGAAGCATCATTTTCGATGTTGATTCCAATATCCACCCAGATTTCTTGATGAAAACCACTGAGAATTCAATTGCAATCATGGGAGGATGAGGCTCATATGAATAGATGTGTGGTAGCAAGAGTCAATGGCCGGGTTTCTTCGGATACAGATCTATAGAAACCAGATAGCATTATGTTAACATGCAAGCTATGCACGTGCGGCTTGTGACTCTCTTGCTCATCTCGATCAGCTCGAGCTGTGAACTGCCTTGACCATGCCATTACGTGCATAGCCTGGCGTCGCAATGAAGTGCAGGCTCCTCTCTCTAGTGAAGAGCGATGATATCCCTTAAGACTCAGAAGGAAGGCCGTTTGTACGGAAATTACGTGTAAAGTGCACCTAAGCACACCCCGTCCCCCGCGCAGCCATAGCCGGGTGATCCCTGCAATGCTATCAAGCGAGTTGGAACTAAGTAGGGTAGAGTCGCAAGCCATCGTTCTTGGTAGGCTGTGTCGTCGCCACTTGGTGGCCGATGGTCTTGGTTGAATGATGTTGCAAACATTATAATGGCACCCTGTGACCAGAAAAAAGCGAACACCTAACAAGCCGCCACATAGACCAGTACCTTTATCAATGCCCTTATCATAAATAAATACACAAAAAATACTCATAATTATACAAAAAGTGTAGTTGTTATTCGGTGTTTTTAATTTTATTTTTTAGACGGCCGTAATTATCAAAAAAGTGGTAGAAATATAGGTCGAGGATAGGCTCGATGTAGTGCTTGGTCTAAAGTGTTCGCTTCTTTTTGGTCACAGGATGAATGGCTAAGGTGACCGATCGGCGTGTCGGATATTGTGCCCTATGCAGCTCAGTATCTGCGGGCTGGGGTCCGGTCTGAGACCCCGAAGGACTGATTCCTTCTAAGGTTTATGCAAGGGCCACTGGTGCTGTCACTAGCCAGCCCCAAAAGTCCGTGCCTCGGGTACGGATGGTCGTAGCTCGAACGGGTTGTAGACACCGGGCGGCTCCCTCACGCCCCTGCTGAACTGCACCCGGTGGCGTTGTTCAATCCAGAGGTACCGCACCGTTTTGCTGCGCTGAGTTTGCGCCCACCCCCCCACGGAGGCCATTCCCGCCAGGGACACCAGACGGTACAAGTTAGCGCACTGTCGTCCACTAACCGGATCAGGATGTCGTTCGAGGGCCAATCACATCTGCCGCAGCCAACTTCATCACCTCATTATACACTAGACTGGAGGTGCTCGACGCGATAGGGAAGTCGGGTTTCGATAGCTGATGGATGACTGCCGATGCTCTTGGAGGCGCCGAGGGGTTTCGGGAACGCATAAGTCTCCGACGTAGATAGGGCATGAGCCAGGCCAATGTCCCGGCAGACTAATATACAGGGCATGGAGGCTTCTCCTCTCACCTCGATTGGTGCTCAGTTGGCTTTGTGCTTTCCAGCGGCAGCATCGCGCGGAGAGCATTGTAGCCAGTGCTGCAATGGGAGGAGCATACGGTCTAGAGGAACCATAATTTCTTCCGTAGCATGTACGTATGTCAGGAGTATGTGCAATATTCTTGACAAAAAACCCGCGTCTGTTCCTGATTGACCTGGAGGCATGGCAAGATGAGAGGAGCCGATCCGTGGTAGGGATCTCGGGACAGGAAATGCTCGTATCGTCAATTCTTCAACAACGCCGCCGCCACAAAAGTAAAGTTTAATCCCCCCGTCAGGAGATGTCTCAGGACTTCAATCACACCGCACTGGGTGTATGGCCGGCCGCCCTCCGAGTACGATTCCTGCCGGGCTTTATAAGACGTGACGCTCCCTGAGTTTTCTGCGTTGGTAGTGGTTAACTACCTGAAGAATCCGTTGTCAATGAGTCAACAACACGAACATCATGTCTGAGCCCAGCCTTACCTCTGCGAACACCGTCGCTCCAGCGGCAATCGGGAACCTGGTCGACCTTCACTACGTTGTGTTTGGTGTTGGCTATGGCGTTTCCACTCTCCTTCTTCTTTTGCGGCTTTACAGCAGGAACCGTTATGGTGGTCTCAGGCTAGATGACAGTAAGTGATCACGCAGCCGAAGGACGTACAGCAAAAAAGCACGACTGACGTACTATACCCAGTGTTGGTGGTATTTTCCTGGGTAAGTAAGAGATAGGAGTTCACGTTAATGAGACCGAGGACTCATTCCGGCACGCCAGGTGTTTTCGTCCGCCATGCAGATTCTGATGATAGGCAAGTACCTCCAAGACCCGGGGATGAAAAATGCTAACGAAGTTGGCGTAGTCGCGATATCCATGGGCACAATGTGCTTTCCGCGAGTATTCATTCCAGACGATCGATTCCGGATATACGTCGAGGTGCGTACCGTGGCCTGTTCAGACGAGACTACCATGGTTGACAAGCAGTCACAGCTCAGTTACAATGCGGCGCCGGCTTTCATGATGTCCATCGGCTGTGCGAAGGCGTCTATACTCTGCCTTTATATGCAACTATTCCCCAGTACAAAGTTCAATATCATCGCCAAAATCACACAGGGTGTTGTGATCATGACCACGGTCGACATCACCCTGCTACTATACCTCTCGCGCCTCCCGAGCCTGTCACTCGATGCCGTGGCCATCTTCTTGGCAACGGCTGCCTCGAACATCGTCATGGACGTAGTGTTGCTGATTCTTCCCATTCCCACCGTGTTCAGACTTCAGGCGAGGCTTAGCAAAAAGCTTAGGCTCACAGGGTTCTTCAGCCTCGGCTTAATGTACGTCGCCGTGCGCGAGACGTCTGTACGGGAACTGACGTACATCGTAGAACCACTGTCACCTCCATCCTTCGGCTGTATCTTCTCAGCAAGATCCAACAAAGCGAGGACCTAACGTGGGACGCCGCACCAGCCAACATCACTTCGTACGTTATGCAAAACCCTGACCTGCTACACTTGCTGACGTTGAAAGATTCCTCGAAGTCAATTTTCTTCTGATATGCGCTTGTGTGCCCTCTGTGTACCATCTTTTCAACGAGCTCAAGCGCGATTCGTCCACTGAGAATCAATCCAGGTTCACAAGTCGAGTTTCGTGGACAAGACGGCCACCCCTAAATAGCTCGAGTCAAGTTCAATTGCGCGAGTCCCAGGATTCCAATGTAGAATTGGGAATCCTTGCCCCGGCAAGTCAATCAAGCGGTGCGGACAGTGGAGCTGATAGCACTTGGAGCGAGCCGATACACGAGAAAAAGGTCTTTAGCGCGTCTCTGTATACTTGATAGCATCAGGCGACGATACAGTAGGGCTTTGAGCCATCAAACAGGTGCAGGCCTGTCTCTCTGCTGAGTTACAAACGGTCCTTGACCCAAATTTACTGCCAGATCACAGCTATAATCACTCGGAAATGTCTCATCGGTTCTCTCCTCCTTCATTTAGCAATATGAAAGTAGCCAGGCGGAGCCAGACTCCCTGTCTGGGCAGGCTGGCCGGGAAAGGGTAGATTGCATGACGGCCGAACCCAGTCCTGCCGGCCGCTGCACGTATGCCACCATTCGGCTTGCCCGACGTCGCTAGCGTCTACCCCGAATGGTCTGACAACGTCAACAATACCCCGCTCCTCTGCAATAGAGCCATGGTATTGCACTCCAGAAGCGAGGGTCTCGGCTGCCCAGCATCAGCGTCTGCGGTGGCTGTCCCAGACCTTGTTTCGTCAACATGACCATCCGTTCCTGCGTATTGAGGCGGTGAGCGATCATGGGCACTGCAGCGAGATGCCTACGACGGGCGGATTTCCGAAGTCGTGAGTATGAAAACCCCTACTCTATCCCCGTCCCTTTTGACCTCTACGATCAATCATGGTCTCCTTCCGCATCTCTCGAGCAACTATGGAAATCTTTTATCTCGCGGTCGCATTCATTCTAGCGGCTACTGCCATCGAATCAGCCGCCGTTGAACGGCCTGAAATCAAATGTGTATGTCGACAATCCACACACCACTCTCATACTAACGCTAGGCTGAAAGTGTCTCGCTCTCCTGAAGGACGACGTACTTTCTGGAAAGGTTTTAACTCCGTGCAATGAGGATTTTCAACATCGCTTGGAGTCGTACTACTCCGCCAATGCGGCTGAGCCACCTCGCTGCATGGTGTTGCCTCAGACCGCTGAAGACGTCGCTAGGACCATCCAGATCATATCTGCTCGACGCTGTCACTTTGGAATGAGAAGCGGGGCTCACTCGGCGTTCCGCGGCTCGAACGGGCTCAAGGATGGCATTACAGTCGATTTTGGTGAGTATCGCCTCTTCATCCGGCATCAAAGCTCACATGAGATAGGCTACATGAACTCGACCGAATATGACCCGACCACCGGCATCGCTTCCGTCCGCCCAGGCTCGAACTGGGAGATGTATACTCCGCTCTGGATCCGTTCGGTGTCACGGCTGTTGGAGGACGAGCTTCTGTCGTCGGGGTTGGGGGTTTTACCACGGGCGGTGGGGTGCGTATGCTCTGCCACTATGCGTGCAAGACCGTCGCGGACCCAGCAAAGACTGGCTTCTCTCCGACAGAAGAAGACTGACTCTCGACAGTACTCTTTCCACAGCAACAGGCGAGGATTTGCTTGCGACAATGTTGTCAACTTCGAGGTTGTTCTCGCCAATGGTACCATTGTCAATGCAAACGCGCACGAGAACGCTGGTCTCTGGAGAGCTCTCAAGGGGGGCTCGGGAAACTTTGGCTTCGTCACACGGGTTGATGTCGGTAAGTGGCAAATGATGTCGTGACGTGAGCGTACCTAACGAGGCGCAATGATGGCTAACCTTTCCACAGAGGTCGTCCGTTCGACCCAGATTTGGGGCGGGATCACAACCTACGACCTGAGCAAGACAGGCGACGTGGTCAACGCTTACGTGGATTTCGTCAATATCATGGACGAAGACCCGGCCAGCCAGGCCATCGTGACTCTGCTGTATGGCCAGCAGGGGTTGAGCCTCGTCGCAGTATTAACAAACAGTGACGCGAAAAGTTCCGCGCCCGCCTTCCGAGAATTTGCCAGCATTGCCAACGTTTCAAGCACAGCTCGCGTCGGATCTGTCGCAGAGGTGGTCCCTGAGTTCACCGGACCAACTCGCCTAGGACTCTAGTACGTCTTGTATCGAAATCCACCAAAGGGGCGACGTGGCTGACCATGACACAGCGCCAATTGGAGGACCGGCATGACCTCACACGGCGCCGCTATTATGGGCTTTGTTCTTCGTACCGTGCCCAAATACACGGAGAGAATGAAGCTCGCAGCTCCAGCCTCCAACTTCGAGCTTCTCACTCAATTCCAGCCTGTGACCAAGTCGATGGTGGCCCATGGCGACGAACGAGGCGGCAACGTCCTCGGCCTTGGGAGGGTGGTCACAGGCGGTCCGGCTCTCATGTGGCTTCTAGCACTCACGGTAGATACCGCAGAGAACCAGGTGTTGATCTTGCCTCTCTTACTCGAACTTGAGCGTGTCATCAACAAGTATGCTGGTAAGGAGGGACTTCAAGAAGACTGGGAGTTCCTAAACTACAGCGGCTTTGATCAGACGCCAATTTCGCACTATGGCGAGGAAACAGTCCACTTCATGAGGAACATTTCGTTGGAATACGACCCAGGCAGAGTTTTCCAGGACCTTCGGAAGACGGGCTTTCAGATCCCCGTCTGTGTCCTAAATGCAACCAACGAGCTCGATATGGATGAAGTAAGGACGGCCGCTAGAATTCGAAGTATGCAAATGTCAAGAAACAAATAATCTCTAGCCTGGATTTTGAGGGAAAACATGATAACTATAGACAATAGACGCGTAGCGCCCGAATAAAATTCATTGTGAAATATTGATCTCGCGCCCTCTGCCAAGAGATGCGTACGCAATGGTATCGTCCGATTGACATTAGGGTACTGCAGATACCATGTTGAGCTTTCAAAGATCTCAAATCTCCACGATGGAGGTGTCTATATTTCGTGGTTTGTATGCAGGATTTGGAAGTGCTCCTGCCACGGAGAGGAGGACTAGGATATGTTTTCGGGACAATCCGTCATCAGGCCTCAATCACGTTTCGGGTTTGAATTGGTGTACGTGATCGTCAGGCCAAACGTGCCGGGCCTTGAACGTGCACAATAGAAAGCGCGAAGACATCGATTGCCAGCGTAGAAGTTGACGCTCTCCTCGCTAGGTCGTCAGTCTAATGGTGTGAGGATAAGTGTTTGAAGCAGGATGAATCACACTCTATGGGTTTGAGCTTCTATGCGCCGTGCGACATATTCGACGACCTACTCTCCCGACAATGACGACTGCGTGGATTCGGACAGGTGATTGTGCGTCCAAGGGTCACTGCCAAGAATCACAGCCAATGTTATGAGGGGCCATTTAGCTCAACTGTGACAGGTCGTTTCTGGGCTTTGATGATGACAGGAGCCGTTTGGTCTCGGTATGTCTCGGTATAGAACCGCCGAAGAGCAGCTGCGGGACGACGTAAATCCGTAAGACCCGGCAATGACATTGACGGAACGAATGAGTAGAACTAAGTCTATCGCGGACTAAGAATGATGCTAACCTTACTGGCCGAGCTTCCATCTTCGGCTCAACCTTGCAAGAAATTCAGTACACCGTGATGTGGTTTCGGGCTCGACGCCCCAGCGGGGCGCAGCAGAACGAAGGAAGACCCGTGAATGGACCATTTACGAAGGGAATTGACGTTTCGATGTAGCACTCAGTCAAGGATGGGTGCTGCCCTCCGCAAGCTTGTTGAGGCTGAAGAGCTAGAGCGAGGCTTTGAGGGATCGCTATTTTTGCAAAAGAAATCGCGTACCAAGAAACGAAACGGAAACTGGGTCTTGCCGCTCGGTTGGCATCTCGGGTGGGGCGTAGATGCGCCGGTCAAGGCTGGAACTTCATGTCCGACGGCTATCTGTATGTTGCAGACATGGCCTCATAACACAAAGTCAAGCCGATTGAGTTTCCTGTTGTCGGAAAGCATAATAGTCTGGCGGAGTCTTCACCACCGTTTCGAATGGACGGATTACGTCAAAGACACAAAGCTGCCATTTGACGTCGAGAAGTCAGCGTTCAACGGCTAGCGATCGGCGCCTCCCCCTCCATGTGGCTCAGAGACGCCACCCCCACTATGACTTGGACTGACGTGCCCTGCGAAGGGGCAGTCAAACTGGGGAACGGCAGGCAAGCCATCTGGTCAAGTGTGTTCAAGACTATTACCTAATCTCTTTACCTAATCTCTTTACCTAATTTCCGTCCTCAGGCAAGAGTATCTTGACAAAACATGTGACATGATTGAGTCCTCCAGGTCCACGATTTGCGGCAGAGTGACGAATAGAGCCTTCCCTTTTGGAACGTCTTGCGACAACTTCGCCGTCCAGCACCATCTCAATCACCATGACTCTTTCCATCACCCTCCGCCTGAATGGGCTTCAGGCAGATGTGTTTCACCAACCGGAACTATGCAATGAGGCTCACGAACTGGGGGTTCAATTTTTGGATATGGTGGAGATAGCCCGCGACTTCAGCTCAGCACTTCACAATCCCCGCCCACAAAAGTCCAGAAATAACTTTTTGCGCTTCGTTTTCGAGCAAAGTCATGCTCATGATCAGGAGGCAACAACCCGCAAGCTTAAGCTCCGGGTTTTGAACGGTATAAGCCTTGTCCTCTGCGCCGCAACTTATACGAAAAATTCGATACTTGGCTTCTCAGGAGGCCATTTCAACTTACTCCTTGCACACTGCAGCAGCTTCCTGGAGAGTCCGGCAGTAGTTGCATCCAAGTTGCCTTTCCAACTTATCCAAACATCACTTGCGGCTCCAATCAATGCTATTGATGGTGTTTCATACCGGAGGTTCCGCAGTGGTGAGTTCAAAATCCTCTCGCAATCTTAATTTAACCATCTCTGACTTTGAAGATTTGGAAAAACTCCAAACGGGCTTAGGGTCTACACAAGCCTCGATTGACTTGGGTCTAAAACAAGATCACGGTCTTTGTGGTAAGGGATCAACTCCCTGGCCAAAGGAACAAGTGTCAGCTTTGCTGTGGGTTCAAGACTCTGCCGTTCTCTTTCAAAGAACTAACTTCGTAGCCATGGGCCCCAATGTATCACTTTCTGTGTTGTTCTTCGCCAAATTGCTCGACTCTGTAAAGATTTTGGACGCACAATACCTTGTTCGATTTACATGATCGAGGCTCTGGTGACCATTTCCAAATCTGGCTCTCTTGACGACAGTATGCAACTTCTCGACACCGCTGCAGAAATGCTCACGGACTTGGCACCAGTCTCGACGTGGGCATCTGTCGTGCATCGACGCAGCATAGTCCTACGACTTCTTGGTGATCCCCAGAGCTCCGAGCAGGAGTTATATACGTTTATTCGGCGGTCACCTAATTTACCAGACCACCTTCTCATACCTCTTCAATTGTCCCTAGCAAACAACCTTATCTACCAACTGAAGTACACAGACGCTGCCCAGATTGTGCGAGAAATCCAAGTCACAAAGGATCTCCAAGGCGACCAAGTTCAATTGATTTGGGATCAAATTTACTGTGTTGGTCGCGTTATGAGGGGTCAAGGCGACTTCGAAAGTGCCAGAATCTGCTTTGAGCAATGTTTCAAAACCTATGGTATCCGGAAGTCCAAAAAGATCATTATTCAGACAGCGCTGGCAGACCTTTATTGCGAGTTGGACTACAAATCTCAGGATGATCAACGCTATCACCTGTTTCAAGCCAGGTCATTGCTCGTGCCTGCCCTCGAATCGGTTGGAGTAGCTAACTCAAAGAGCCGCCGGCGCCTCCTCTTGTCTTTGTCGGAGATCAACCTTCGGGAAGGTCGAATTCGTGAGGCAAGGAAATTGTTGGAGGAACTATTGATTCTCTATGGTGGCATAGACTCTTTCGATGTCGTCGATCGACTTGGACACGTTCGTTCATACATCGCGTTAGCTCGCACGTACCCTAATGGCCAATCCGAGTCTCATTGGAGGAATGCTCTGCGTCTCAACGCAGAGTACAACCCATCTGAGGAAGAAGTTTTTACTTGTGCTATCATTTACTTGCATCTCAGCTGGTTCAGCTACTGCTCGGGGGAGTTGAATGGAGCACAGAAGATGTACGCATGTGCAGAGAAGGTTCTCCACAGAAGAAGGCCTGAGTATTTATTGCCCGGAGTTGGGACGTATGTTTTTGATGAAATCCTGTGTAAATTACGAAACGCAGATTTGTGAGGCGACCCGGGAACACCCGGCTATTCAGGACGTAGCTAAGGATGCCTCGTTCTCACCGGTTGCTGCATACCTACGCCGTGCCGAAGCAGATCGTGAGCGCCTCCGTCGTGACTTTTCCACTAGGAACAAAAATTCGTGCCCATCAGGCAGTTCACCAAGAGGCCAGTTCCCATCCTCCTGGAAACAGGCAAGAGCATCGAGGGGTTCAGCGTGATCAACATAGAAGTTAGAATTCACGCCCGACACCATTCCGCTAGCATCGTCGGAGTGAAAAAGCCGCCCGCAGAGCTGCGCCTCGCGAACATAAGTAATCGGCGACGCCTTTAACACATCAGCGGCATGGTCCCGAGCATAGTCCATCGAAACGTCGGAAAATCTGATATCTTCATAACTAGTCAGCAACAAGTTCGCCAGAGGAGTCTGGTTCATACCTCCGATTGCCTTCGCGAGGGCTTTGCACGCTGCTGGATGGGAACTCATAATCCCGAGCACATCATCGTCGTCATCGATCAAGTTCAAGAGAAGAGTGGTTGCGAGATTTTGTTCTCGGTAATGGCTGTGGACCACCAGTTGGGTGATCCAGCATACTCGACGATTCGCATGCTCCCAGCGGCAAGCAAAAGCATTCCCTGCTAGGACGCCATCGATATGGATGGAGACATATGTGTTGTTCGATCCCTCGGGAAGACACTGCCCCCGTAGGCGGTCTGCGCTCATCTTGACGCGACTCCCTTATGACATTTTAGCAAGATATTGATAGATCAGAGGTAGGAGAATGATTACCAGGACTCCCACGTCCTTCATTGCCCCAGAAGCCGTAGTTCTCGCTGAATAGTTTTGCAGCGTCCTTCAACATGTCGTCAGTGACTTGTTGGCCATTGAAGTTGCTGACAAGCTTTGCCATAGTCTCTGTTGATGCTTTCCTTCGTTTTCGACGAGGCTCGTCTGCTTCGAAGATTTTAACGTCGGGAAAATCAGAAAATCGCAAGGATGGAGAGCTTTTTGGCGCCATAGTCGAGCAGATGTTGCTAGTCTTATGGGAGTTGGTACGCCAACTCGCGAGGTGATCACTGGCAACTCGGATCAGACGTTAAACGCTCAGCCTTTTGCAGCTATTGGCCCTTTCCTCAGATGAGGGGCAGGCACACGAATAGATACCCACTTCCTTATCAGCAATTGGTGACTTCCTCAAATGTGGGGCGTGTGCTACCCCTCCAAGGGGGAGAACCAGATTCTGTCTGTCTATTGGCAGTTTCCCCAAATGTGGGGCGCGTGCGATGCCATCCTACCCTGGCTCATGGTATCTCGTTGCCTGCAACAGCTCCAATGTGCGTCTACTCTACAAACAAGCGTGCAAGCGTCTTATCCAGGTGTGGTTGACGTACGTTCACTCCCAGGGTCGCTAGGACAATAACAGGCCGACATTACCAGACACGAACCATAATTCGACGCAATAGCCACCGTAAGCCCAATGAGGACGTCACAGGGTCGAACCAACTCGACAAGAGATATACTGCTGCATTATGCAAAGCGACCAAATCGAATCATGTCCTGATTACGCATGCTTCTTCTGTGAATGAGCCCCGCTATCTGGTCGCTCAGCTTCCGAATGCCACCCGCTTGAAGTGTAATAAATAAGGCAACCTTAAGAAGCCATGTTGTTCGCATGGTTCGCAATGCAGCAAAGGCTCAAAGCAATACCATCCATTTCATTATGTCTACCTTGAAAGAATACCGACCAATGCACAAAGCGGAAATGGCGGTTTACGGCCGAATATACCCAGAGATCATTGAAGAGGACATTAAGCGTACAGGGGTTTACATCGAAATATTCGACACAGTGGTGGTAATTGAGATGGAGGAAGACATTGCGATACCCAAAGCCGATTTCGACCAAACCATGGCGAAGTATGCAGAAAATATAGCACTTCGGCGTGCTCTTCCCGGCAAATCTATGCGGAAGCCAACAAGTTCAAGGACGAACTGACAATGAAAGTCAATTCATCACGGTTAAAAGTTTTGGAACTGGATTGACCCGCACCATACGAGTTTCAACACAGATTCGCAACAACGAAATAAGACAGCAAAGCGAAGGATGTGCGAGCAGTGCTATCAAGGATTTACGACGCGCTTCGCAGCTGGCACGTCAGGGAGAGGCCCAGGAAAGCGGCAAAGTAACACTGCCGGAAGCCAATACTTGGACAACAAATCTCATCAGCCAACAACCAATTTCTCTGCCTAGCTGGCCGATTATATACTGAGCATGTTGATAGCTATTCAAAGCCAAAGATGCAGATGTATCCAAAGTCCAAGAATTACAAGAGTCTGCAAACACCAAGGCCGTCGACAGAAGTCGTGATTTCGCAGCAGAATTTGCAGAGAACATATCCGAGGGCGTCTCTCAGGCAGACTCGCAGGGGTAGCTCGTACGGAGGAGGTATGATCAGCAGGCTGCTGTGAATGAAGTTTTTGCATGGTTCAAAGAGGAAGAAATGGTCTACTAATAGATTGAAACTGATTCAAGAGAACGCAAGCCCTCTGATTCTTTGATGGTCTGGCGAAGCAGTACATTTGGATTGAGGATATGTGTCCATGAAAGTAGCCGTAAATACGGAAGTGGTTGAGATGGCAAAGTCTATGGACGAACGAAAACATGTACTGAAAGCTCAGCCTGTATTCGGCAACAACAGCGATGTGTCCATAAGACAGCCTTGATGTCTCGTTAGGCATGATTGGAGGGCTTGGCCGACGCTCGCTTTCGTAGCTCTTTGAGAGTACACTCGAGTGAAGACGGCCCTAAGTCGGTCAAGAACTGAAGCAATCGGGAGATCCTTCGCGTCTGTGAGATATCGATATCTTGGAAACATCGTTGGTGTGGCCGTGTTTCTCATTAGAGGCCCATACTGCACGTTCAAGCAACTCAATGTTGCTTTTCGCAACCACAGTGAATAGCTTTTCCAACTCAGCTACGCGCAGTTCGAGCTCCGACAGTTTGCGCCACCAAGCCGGCGAGGGCTCTGCTGGCCCGCCTCGTATCTCCCTATGCTCCGTCAGTGTCATCAACTAATCAGGCCGGAAATGGTCTATACCAATTCTGACTTCCCGGCCTCTGTGACAATGTTTCGCTGGAGTGCTGGGGACGAGCTTTCTTCTGAATCTTCGATGCCATCAATCGGCTCGATGAAGCCGCTCGTGTCGGTTCCTTTCGTCTTACGACTCGAGGAGAATTAGTGGGGTCGGCAGGTAACATGCTATGGGCTTTAACCTCAACCGTCGGTAGGCCGCCTGATGTATTGTACGCCGTATACATGTTGCTGTCGTGGACGATGCCTCGAGGTCCTTGAGAGACACTGAGACTGTCCCCGACGTTCAGTTGGAGATTTCCTTCTGGCTTTACTATACAGCTGGGGCGCCCCGATAAAACTGCAGGTGTGAGCCTTCTATCGAGAAGCGTCAACGCCACCCTGACGTACCTGGTTCCTTGTCGTGGTCGAGGATCATTGTGAAATCGGCAAACATTGCGTTTTGTGACTCGATTGATGCTGCCCTGCTAAGGAGGGTCGAATGCGTCCTTTGGGCGGCTGTGCGAGTAATGTATGGTCTCTGAAAAGTTGAACCCGAAAGTTTTCTCTTTAAACGCGATGAGAGGATGAAGCTATGGCGACTTGGATGGAGGGAGATCTTTCCGGTACGCTAAACACTTCATTCCGGGCCCATGGACATGACACTGGTGTCGAAGAAATCAATGTAGCAAAAAGATTATGAGGACTCCACTGACTACATTGGTCAGACCGGGAGAATTCTGAAACTGGTGCCCAAAAACCAAACCGAAACTGCCATTGACTCTCCACTGATAATCCGCCAGTAAACAGGACTGCGTGGCTGCCGCACGCATGGTGTTCACTCAGCGCTGCGCAGTACCTAGAACACCAGCAGATCTTCGCCCAATGCAATCTCGGTATATGTTGCTTCCCGGGGTTACTATTCGCACTCGAAGTGGCTGCTTGGGTCCATCATAGCCTGATCGTGCGGCGTGGTTGAGTGTTTACACTATACGCTACAAGGGTGCCAGCAAAGGCACGGTGGATCCGACGTGCTTGGGGTCCAGCTCACAATCGCTCACCGTAGTTGAGCGGGGATTCTTGGCCAGCGCGGCCGCCCGCCTGATGGAGGGTAGCCAACCCCATCGCTGCGTGTCCCTGCCTCTGCGAGTGACTTCGACTACAGTTGCGCTCGGATCAGGACACCCACACCGCCACGCGTGGACGAGACCTCTAACCTCGGTGCAAGGGAATGCTGAAATCTTAGCACTTAATCCTCTTGCTAGGAGCGCGCAGATCGAATCGTAGGACGCCTAATCCTGGATGACGAGATGGGCGGTACGATGAAAGGGAGGGTTGTCTTGGTCAAGTATCTGCATTGTCACGACCCATAAGTCCAAGCTCCGCATGACCAGAAGCTGTGTCCGACTACATTGCCTCACTTCTGATGTCGATATGCCTTCTCCGAACCTCACTTCACCGATGGGTGAAGCTTGTCGTGGTCTGTGGAGTCGATGCTGTTCTTGTCAAACTTCTCCGACATGGCGTCCGTCCCTTTTCGTCCCATCCACGGCATCACTGCCGTCATGGCTCCATCCACCAGTGAAGCATTGAGTCGCTTCCGTCTCCTTGGCCACTAGATTGACAAAAGAACTGACTGCAACTTCGGTTTTGTCAATGTCGAATCCTTCGTGTTTGTCTCGTTCTCCACCCGTGTTCACTAGGCGTTGTCTGGATCTACCACTCCTTTTTATGCCCATACCACCCTCGCTGCTCTCCATAACGATGCGGACCTCAAGTGCAGCGAGAATTGAGATACGGCGTGTAGGTGTCGCTCGCTGCGTCAACGGCTCCTTTGCCATCCATGGACTCTTAGGTCACTGAGGGGTCCAAAAACGACACCACAAGAGCGAAATGAATATTATTCATGAGCAAGTCTATATTGTGCCATCGTCCCTCCTCGTGTACATCCTTAGTCAACAACTCTATAATGGGCTCTAGCAAAATACCTTGTGTGACTCAATTGGGGTCGCTTCTGGGGCGGCGGCGTCATCTGGTGTCGAAGTTCCGAAGTGGAGCTTGTCGTAATCAGTTGAGTCGACACTATTCTTGTCCGACCCTTCCGACTTTGAGTCCTCATTCGTCTCCTCTCTGTCGCTTTTGGGCTCTTCAGCCGCTTCTTCTGTCTTTTCAATCGCGGATGAATCGACATCAGGCTTCGCGGCTTCTAGGCTGGCAGGCTCGAGCTTTTCGCGCTCTCCACCCGCGTTCGCCTGGGCATTGTCGATATCTGCCTCCCCTTTCTTGCCCATACCACCCTCGAGAAGCTCGCCACCTTCCATAAAGACACGGACTTCAAGATCCTCGTCCATGGAGTAGATGCGCAGTCCAACAATGCATACGGCGTTCCAGGGATCAGGCAGACCCTCCTCCTCAGATTCGTAACGCTCGTCATGTCTCTTGGGCGGTCCTGAAGGAGTGAGGCGTGACTTCCTGACCATGTCATCGTCACTATACAACTCTTCCCAGTCTTCGATGGGCGAGTCAGACGAATCGCCATCCGAGTCGTTAGACTTCTGCGCCGGTGGTTCGGGAGCAAAGGCAGGGGCAGGGGCAGACTTGTCTGCAGGCTGATCCTCAGCGGCGTCCTTCTTGACTTCATCCTTAGAGTCTTTCTTGGATTCCTTCTTGCCTTCGTTCTTAGAATCTTCCTTGGACTCATTAGTGCCATCTGACTTGGAGTCGCCTGCAGCAACGTCCTTGGACTCCTCCTTTGATTCATGCTTGGATTCATCCTTGGCTACATCCGTCTGGACGGTCTCATCCTTGGGCTTCTCTGCATCCTTCTTCTTTGCCTCTGCCTCTTCCAAGATTCTCGCTTCTTCAGCCTTCTTGGCTTCCGCGGCGGCCTTCTCAGCGACCTCGAGATCAGCTTTGGCCTTGGCTGCTTCCGCCTTCTTGGCAAGCTTGCGGTCGCGCTTCTCGTTGTTCTTCTTAGTCTGCTGCTTGGTGACTTCGCGATTAGTATGACGTCTCTCCCAGAGTTTGCGGCGCTCCTTCTGGCGAGACTCGGAAGCTCTCTGCTGCTCTTTGATTTTTCGCAGCCTGGTGACTTCTTGGAGATGGGCCGTGCCCTTACTATGCGCCAAGTCGTACGCGGCACCAGTTTGCGCCAGCTTGTCGTTCTCAATGCGCTTCTTGCACTCGCGCTTGACCACATCTTCGACAGAGGAAATATTAGTGTCTCTTTCACCAGTGACACTCATGAAGATGCTGTACTCTCCAGCTGGCATGTCGGGTAACTCGATAGAAACAGATCGGTCCATAACATAGTTGCCGTGGGAGCGCACGATGTAGTCTTCGGCACCAGAGCGGTCTCGCTCGTGAATACGGAAGTGAATGCGGAAAGAGTACTGGCCCTGAAGTCCCTTGAAGTATCTCGTGTCAAGTTGAGTCAGAACTAGGACTAGCGGCCCATCCTTGGATAGCTTGACGTGGAATTTCTCGTTGAATTGGGATTTCCAGGGCACCTCGACTCCAATCCAGCGCTGGACGCACCTCCAGGCGGGGTCACGGAACAGCCTGGTCCTGTCGATATGATGGAATTTGCGTAGGAAGTCATCGTAGTTGATCCAGAAGACAGAGTCATTGCCAGGATGATGACCGAGCTCCTCCTGGACTTCCATGGTCCATTCTTTGGAGCCATCAGACCAAGGACCTTCCCACACGCCCTTTCGAATTTCCCCCCAAGGATTGCGGAGCTTGATAAGACGCTCTCCAGAATTTAGCATCCTTGCTTCCATCATGACGTATGCATGGCCTTCGGAGATGCCGTTCCTCTCACCATAGCCTCCATCAAGGAGGCCGGTTGAGCAGCCGAATAAGAACTCCTCGTTGACTTTGGAAAACTCGTTTTCCCAGAAACCCTCAATATCGAGGGTATCCGAGGTAAGAAGCTCAGTGGTGACACCGCCTGAGAGATCTTCCAATCCCTCGCCAATCCAACCGCCAGCAAGCGAGGCGAAGTCACCATGAGCCTTGGCGTAGGCCTTCTCAATCAAAGGTACCCAAGTCTCATTCTGGTCTTTGCACTGAGCAAAGAAGAGAGCCTTGGATCCGGTCTGATAGGTCTTGCGGTAGACGTGCTCCACGTTCTCGCGATCGATCTGCTGGAGGAGATCGCGCTGCATACTAGGCGAATCCCAGCAAGGAGACTTCAGATATAGCTTATCGTCGATGATGGAGTAGATCCACTCGCCATCGCGGTAGAAGACGAAGCCGTAGATGCCGATGCGAGTGTCGTACTCGACGCAGATGCGCTGAATACCGCCCTCGACGTTGGCGAGGGCAGTCAACGCAGCCATCAGCCAACAGTCTCCGAGGCTTCCCTGCTTCACATCTCCGCCATTGACGTTCTTCAAGAAAGTTGGCTTCTCGAAGATTTCGTGAACACGCTTTACTGCCTTGGGAACAGATGCGCTTGGATTAGAGAGAGTCGCTCTAGAAAGTTGCCATTTGGTATGGCCAAGAGTGTTGAGACAGTAACCCTTTTCCCACTTCAAATCCCAGTCCTGAATAGCCTATTAGCTCCCCAAGTTCGAATCAGCAAGCATTGGAGGTGGAGGTAACTCACCAAGTCCCAGCCGGGATCCCGATATCGCATGTTGACTCTACGGCATTCTTGGATTATCTTTTTCACTTTACGGCGGCACTCCTCGACAGCTCGCTCGTACCCAGCGCTCAGTAACTCGTTGGGTTCATTCGAGCTTGCTGGTGGTAGAACAGGGTCGAATGGCAGCACAGCCAAGGCCTTGTTGAACTTCTTATCCTGAAACTTCTTCCAAATATGATTGATGGAAGGCTGAGGAGGCGTCTTCTTCTTCTTGTCGATGGCGTTAGCCGATGCTGGCACAGGACGCGGGCGACGAGGGTCGTCCGACTCCTCTGAAGAGCTATAGCCGTGCATTGCGTGGTGGGATAGGATATGCAAGGAGACTGAGTGATACGACAAGATTGGAGCGGCTTGAGACGACGAGGGAGATGCAAGTGCGTGTACAATGAGAGCGAGAAAGCGTCGCGGCGCAGATGACTGGTGTAGGTGAAATAGAATGAGATTATAACTTGAAGAATAAGACGCGAAACTGTGCAAAACCAACCGAATGGACGAGTGGACGTTTAAGAATGAAGACAAATGGGGAACAGGGATCAGAAAAAGGTGACTTAATTAGCTACAACGCCCGTGGAGTTTGGACATACAGCAGTGCGTGGGAAGGACGATGGTTCGCACTGGTGCATACCCGCACAATGAGGCAGCCGCAGGCGTTCGGCGGGTACTCTAGGATCGACATCCGAGAGGTGGGAGACTTCAAGGGCCCTGGCGAGAGGATGCTGGCTATGAGGTAGAGATACGACAGACCGTTACCTTTCATTCTAGAATATCTCGGTCTAGCTACCATAATGGGCTTAATTATGTCAGGCAACCAGGCAATCTAATTACAGACTGCCAACACAAGTTAGGCAACAGGCCAGCTCATCCCGTGGCGCGAGATGCTCAGAATTCTCTGTGTGCAAGGATCCGCATAAGCTTGATATTGAAGTGGTCGAGATAGCGTTCGTATCACAGTATACACATGAGATTATGGATATTGCCTCGCATTATTACCTCGCGGAATCCACTCGCAGGCACGCAATATTGGAAAAGGTCACTCACCAGAATTTCAGGCTGGCTCAGGCATGCGGATCCTGGCTTTCGACGCGGCAAACGCAAAGAAGCTAAGTGCCAGATTGTAAGATCATTATCATGGGCTGAGGCAATGCTAGTTTCTGTGTTAGTTCATGGGTGGGAACTCGTGCGATAGCAAACCACTTGGGAAGGTCCATGCTTTTCCTCTTATAATTCATTTCCTGTGCTGACATAAAACAACCCAATGCATTCATCACGGCGCCGAAGGATGATATTCGCATATTCCTACCGAGGGTTCTTTTGAAAAGCCACCGCCCTTCACTCAGAGTCCCGGTTGAAGCTATTCTGGGGCAAGACATGCTGGATAGATCGCTACATCCTGCTGGTGGTGCCGGGAGTGCGAAGACAGTCGACTCCGATCGAAAATTCGGGTCGAGATTGGGCGGCCATTGACGAACGTTCCGAGTCAATCAAAGAAGCCCGCTTTGACAAAACCCTGGCAACGCGGCGACACTCCGGGATTCGGGCGATCAAGAACCCAAGTGGGAGTTAATCAAATCACAGCCGCGCGAGATCTCTGACATTTCTATGAATGAAAAGCAGGAATGGACTAGAGTAAGCGACTTGGAAAGCTGCATAGAGTCGTCTGAGTATACATGTTATCCTGGGCGAGGTATTCGTCACAGGTATCTTTCCCACGAGCCCCAGTGACTGGAAGACGTCTCTCTGCATGGCCTTGGTCATTCTTTTTCAACTCCTTATCAATATTATAGGTGTTGATGCGGTTATCGATCAACAGCATCTAATGAGTTGCATGGTGTCAAGCTGCTTGAAGATGTCTACAGAAATGATTCGCTACGTCATATAGCTTGCCTAAGTCTAATTATGGTTCGAGTTGGAGATGTTGGTACATTTCCGATGACGACACTCAGAGTCACTTTACGACTTCTGGTAATAAGAAGACCACCGATTTACCTCGCGATTCAGCCTGAGAGGGTTTCTGGCCTCAACTTCTCAAGGTCGTTGCACATGACTTGATGCAAGAATCTTCTCGTCCTGTTATGTACATCTTTCAGAGGCGTCCAGTCGGCTGAGGCCTGACCTCATCTAACAGGCAGGGCATCTTGCCTGCGCTGCCTTGGGGGCTATCCGTTCTATACCGAGGCCTGGAGGGTTCAGCAACATCTAGACGCAGCTGTCTGCTTCAGTCACCTAACACGATGATATGTGAAAACCATCTGAGCCAGTCCCATGAAAGTCCATTGATAGTCCCGTAAGCTCCAACAGACTGCCAATCCCCGAGATGCCCTACATTGACTACTGTTTGTCTTCCAGTTCTTATGCAGCAGGCTGTTGTGCGGCAAACTTCTCTATCACATCCTATCTCGTATGCTACGTCGGACTAGTGGCGCACATAGCCTGCTCGGCGACACGGCTTCAATGGTTCGACGCTGAACAGCAGGTGCGAATACTGGTTAAGGCTGTTGATTGATGCAATCGCTGGAGACCACAACAGATGCGACCAGTCCCCTTCGCTTCGCCGGTCGCCCGAATGATGAGGTTTAACCTCAAATGTTTGTTGCTCTGCAGTGGGCCCCCAGCCATTTGCAAACCCCAGGCAGCTTGATGGAAGGGTCAAAAGAGATGAAAACCAGAGGTTTCAGATCTTTGGTCTCTCGGCCTCCCTGGATGTAAACAAGAGAACGGTCATCAGCTATTCCGAAAATGTCCCAGTGTGGTTCTTGAACACGCAGGACGTGAGCCAAATATTCCGATCCGTCACGGGTTTCGTCTGGGTCCGTCTGCGGTGGCCAGTAAGATATGACACTCTCAACTCGATTGGCTTCATTCCCTGTTTCTTGAGAATCTGGTTGCTCGTGCGATACCGCCTGCGAACGACTTATGGTTCGTATGTTTAGGCCAGAAGACAGGCCATCTGCAGCGGCAAGGTTGAAAAGGTCTATAAAAGCTTCGCAGTGGATGTTATAAGACCTCATCAAGCAATTGTTAGAGGTGACCAACGGCTCCGTGAATCCATCGTCCCCTCGGTGTGGGGTTGATGGATATTCTTTGAGGTTTGGTGCCTGGCCTTGAAAGCCACAAAACTCTACGAGCTTCTGCTCGCTGCCTTCTCCAACCAGGAAATCGTCAGCAAAATCGCCGTTGCAAATCTGAACTGCCGTCCGGTACGCGGTCCTCGAGTTCCCGTCGCCCTTAGCAGAGTGTTCCCTTCGGCACTCCACGATCTCAAGGACTCCTGTTTTGGGGTTCTTTTCGAGACTAAGGGTGCTCCATCTGTCATCAATCGGCCCTTCGCGGTGATCGCGACGAAACATGGACTCAGATAGCAGCTGCTTATCCTCGGCTCTGCATATACCGAGGGGATAGCGAACGCCGTAATAACGTGAAAGATAAACATCTTCGCCGAATGCAGTCGGCTGCACACTTGAAGCCGCGTAGAAATGATGGCCGAAAATCTCAAACGCCGCGGTGGCACCAATATCAGGACCGGCGACTTCCTTGAGTTCAAGCACGCCATTCAGCCATTCTTTCCTCCCGATGTTGAAGCACTGCAGCTTCCAGAAGTTGTCGTCGTCATCGTCGATATTGTCGTCATTGCCAGTATCGGGATAAGTGCCGCAGTATAAATAATCCGAATTATTCCTGACAAACAGCTTCTGGTGCGAGTCGATGTCTATGGGAGGGAAAGTGACACGTCTCTCGATACTGGTGACGAAAAGTTTGTTGCGGCCTGTATTCTCAAGCGGGATGTACAGCCAAGAGAGGATGTTGTCTGAATAGTGTATGGGTCTGAGCTCGTACTTCTCGCTCGGAGGGGTTTGATTTGTGGTAGCAAGAAGTTCGTCCACGTTGATTACGATCTCGTTCGGCACCGACTGATGAAGATTGAGCAAGAAAAATTCCTTGGTTTCGTTCTGTGTATAGCAAAGCATGCCGTTGCAGTATATATACTGATCAGCCCACGCGACAATGCCTACCGAGTAAGGTTTGGCTGTGGTGACAGCATCTTGGAGCTTGACTCGTCGGCGTAATGCCTGGGCGTAACATCCGGACTGTCGCGCCTCCTTCATTTCGATCGAATACGCAGCGTGCTTCTTGATACGAGGTCAGAAACTGATTCATGGAGGATTACGGGGAACATCTCTTCGAACCTCGAGTGCCGCTTTTGCAATGGTTTCATTGTGCGTGAGATAACCAAACTGTTTGCAGACACGACTAAGACTCCAAACATCCTGGGGGGCGAGCCGCTCGGCAATGTCGAACATAACATCAATCGGCAGCTTCTGCATCTTGATTGACAAAAGTAAGGAGCATATATGTGGGAAAGAATAGTCACATCGAACAGCTCCCGCTGTGGCAGTTTAAATGCCGCGAAAGAGCATGACCCATGGAGCCGCATCAGTGTAAAGCCCTGGTAGGCTGTTACAAGCGTTATTCGATCAACCAGTCTAGCTATCGACGGCGGGCGGCTCCGCGGCTCTGCTGGTACGTCTTAATACGCACCAGTCATCTGTCTAGCTGCTTGCGACGGAGGTGCTTTCCATTCTTCACACAGAGTGTGCGATGCCGTTGTGCACGTCATCGATTGGTCATGCTGGCGAGACGACTGGGTCCCGCGACGATAGGATGAGTTTTGACGAGGGGCGTCTGCGTGTTGAGCAGGTAGTTTCGTTATCCGACGCCAGGGTGTTGTCACACTACATTCCAAGGAGGCCCTAGTCACCGGCATGACATGGTGCGATGCACGTCGTGATGACCTGGACGAAGAGAATGTGTCCCTGTGATGCAAATCATCTCCTCTTGCCTGCAGCCGGTGAATACTATCAAGCATTGCCATGATTGGGTATGCCAGAACAATCTTTGTTGGCAGCTAGGGTTGAGATTGCTTCCAAAGCAAGCCGCCATGGAAGTCTTGGGCACCATGAGAGGCGCCTCATTAATCCATCGTAAACGAAGCGCACAAAAATGGTACATTGAGGGTATCCAAGACCTTCATCAACGGCCAACCTTTGCTCAGGTTCGAGGGGTGAATCCAAGGTGTTCAAAACTTACCTGGGAAATGAATACCCGCTTGGACCGTCAAAGTATTGGCATGCTGCATGGGACCCGAGGAACCATTGGTCTACGAGGGCGTGAGTTCAACTGTTGATCAGACCGTGTGCTTACAAAAGAAGACGTTTGACCGGTGTCCACGTTACACGAGGAGCAGGCTGGGGCCGGTGCTCGTGGCTTGGTCATCTAAGCGTTGGGCTAATTGCAGGGCTGGGTCGGCGGCAGGCCTAGGGCGTGATGACACACATGAATGCGCCGGCTTCCATGAGCATTTGACTTTCAAAGTCATAAACCCGCGCAGCTTCGCTGAATGGCGTCGGCCTACAAATTACCTGGTCGCCCCCCTCGCTACATTGCGCATCTAAATGACGAGATCCGTTCTATTAGGGCGACGAAAAAATGACGCAGCTCCTGTCCCAAGACCATGCGAACAACGGTGGTTGGATCCCTCTAGAACAGTTGCGACGCGCCCCTGCTTTCGTATTGCGTGGCGGAAAAGTTTTTTATCACGTTGGCCGCGCATCGGGATCGGAATCTGACTCAGCGTGCGGCTTGTTCTGCTGCTTTACCTACATGGAGAATGACGAAGTGATCAAGCAAGACTTATACCGGGTCGGAGGAGTGTTGACCACCGCCATTCTCGGAAAGAAGAACCCCCATCTCTGTGGCATGTTAATGACAACCGCAAGCGAAGTCTTGCAACATGCTTTTGAGCCAACGCATTGGTTAGAGTCGTTCGGTGATAACGATCAAGTTGATCAAGATGTTTGCACTTACGCCGACGAGAATACCGACTTCGACTCCGACTCCGACTCCGCAACCGACATCTCGGTTTTGCCCTGCCCAACAGTCGGCGTAACTGCGCTCGCTATCGATTGGCAACCCGCCGAAATCGTTGCTACCAACTTCCTCCACGCCTGGACCAAACAGGAAACTTCGGCCCCCGCCATGTGTGAATACACTCTCATGAAACCACGATCATGGCCCCAACTTGAGAACAAGTTTACCTTTCCCGAGACGTCGGGTCAGTCACAGACCATTGACTCATATTGTGCGGATGACGAGCTCACGGCAGGGCCGTTGTCGATCGTGATGGATGGGTCAACCCTTCTCGAAGCGAACCTGGTTTCTGGAGAGAATTGTTGGAATTTACCCACAGGCACTACCATAAGGATCCGCAAGATCGAATTGAAGGCACCCTTAGGTCAGTTCGAATAAGAACACGAGCATCTCCCCAAAGTCTGACGCAGATAGTCTACGGAACCAACGGCTTGTGGCTGGTTAGGGGAACCTCGTTCTGTGGAATGGTCGTCGCCAGGTCTCCCGAATGCCCAAGTGCCTATATCATAACAGCCGAGCAAATCATCAACGGTATGGATATGTCCGATCTGAGGCCTTTTGGCTTGGAGTGCTCCCGGAAAGACGAAAGTGCAGAAATGACTACAGCAACGGGCATGGAGCGAAACGAGGGGAGCAGCGGCTAGATGGCTTGGACCCTTACATTCTCAGGCCGTATTTGTGTTTTGTGCCGAGAAAACCATTGATTTGGTCGGAGAGTTAAGAGCAGTACCATCCAGCGATCAAAATTGCCTTGCAGATCAATTCATGTCAGATTCACGTGGGGGCACTTTCTAGATCGACACATCTGACCCAACATTCGAATGAATACGATAAGGACGATGATCGCTTTCATCAGCCATGGGTTTGGGACGAGAAATGCCACCACTCTCTTTGTGGCCATGGAGATATAAAAACATCACCACTTCTTCTCTCAAATGGACCTCTGGCCAGACCTTACTCCAGCGGTCTGTTTCTCTGTGTTCGGCCAAGTAGGGCCCTTTTAGGTGATTCTTCTCGTAGGTGATGCGGACCGCTGACAAAGTGTGTGGTTCTCAGAGCCAAAGGATATGAAATTTGAGGGGCGTGCTTCGTGGAGTGCTCGCTCGACCGACGAATAGGTTAGGGGCACCTCATCATACCGTCAGAGTTGAATGTCCTCTCTACACCCTGGTGACTTCTATCGCGTCCCCTGAAGAAAAAGCAAATTTCGTGGACACGCCTGGATAGCTGGACTAGGATGAATGGGAGTAGATTGTTCAACTCAGATTGCCAGCCTTTGGGATCGTTCGCCCACCATCGAACTTGCAAGCTAGCCGCTAATGAGTCTGTGGTCATGAGTCGACTTCCATCCTGGAATACTGCGGCTGGCGTGAAACTCGATCTTGTTCGCTACCTAGACTCGGAACCATTGCTCCCTCAACATAGCCCCGCAAAGACCATCCTCTATTATCATTCACTGCAGATATCAAAAGACCTCTCCCGTTCAACGAAGCACGGCCCCCCCTTCTCTGCTTGTAACACCGTGAGTGCACTTTTAAGTGAGGCTTTGCGGCGTTTCAAGTATTTCACCCGCCTTTCTAAACGATCCGCATTCCTTTTTAAACGAGCGTTACGTTCGTGTAAGTCAGCGTTTTCCTTTTCCAAGTGAGTATTTTCCTGCTCAAGCTCTGTGAATTTATGTTGAATCCACGCCACTTGGCTGTGTAGCTTTTGGAATGGCCCAATTAGTCCGTCCCGCATATGAGCCTTTTCCCGGATTCTGTCGGTGTCATCGGTGGCGATTGGGTCCGAGATGACTGGTACTATTTCTGACTTCTCAGCTCCTTCGTAAATAACGCGCCCAAGACTGGGCGACGGCGTCTTGTGTGGGACTTCCGAATAGTCTGCCGGCTCCATCACTCGGTTCACACCCAGACTCTTTGTCTCAACGTTTGAACTCGGCAACTCTGGCAGTTGATTTTGCGACTGCTGCTGAAGCTTGCAGTCGTAGCTTGGTGGTGGCGCATGGTTTGAGGGATTCACTGTTTCGCCGGCAGGTCGCGAGCTCAGAGTACCAGAGTCAACGCCGAACACCGTCGGTGACCTGACGCAACCGGTCGTCATTTGCATCAATACCTCTACTGCGCTGCGATCAGCAGGACTGATGCAGTTGTGTCCATCGTGAAAGGCGCTCTGTAGCTTCATCAAGCTTTCGGGCTTGTCCTCCACATTCACGTGGTCCTGTGCGTCTTCTGCCACCTCACCACCACAGCGTTCGTACGAAGCTAGAGATGTAAGCTTTATGCGAGGTGGCTGTAACGTCAGGCTCACGAACCTCGTTGATTGAGACCAGACATGAACGGAACCTTGGTGGATGCCATGACGTTAAAGCGCGCTTCCGCTTTCCGAGCGTCGAGGCCTTCCTGTTGGGAGAATCGGGTGCCCCGTTCAGACACCTATGCGACCGATGGGTGATGCTGAAGCGTTCTCGAGAGCCTGCCGTTCAGCCTGATGGCATGGTGGATTCCTCATAGGACGGTCCCAAGGGAGGCCTTTTGGCACGACGATTCTCTTTATGTAAAGTCCCAAGATAGATACCAAAGCTGAAGCAAGCGGTGTGCCGCCAGCGATGAGATGATCAAGAACTACCGCGTATACCAGGTCAATGTGAATTGGATGTGGTGACAAAAACCTGGTAGTCACCAGCCATTCCACATCAACTACCTTTGAGGCTGCCTGGGGCATGAGTACAAGCCGGAGGGCAACGAACGATCAAATCGTCAGCAGAGAGAGCAGCGTGGCCAGTGCGTGCACAGCGTTTCTCCTGCGCTGTGCCCGTCGCTCGAGAACTAGGAGGCCTTCACAAAATGCCACTTCGCTATTCGTCGCCTTCCGGGGACATCGTCCGCGCGCGTGCGGTGGTGAAATTGGCTGCCTGAATCCAACCTTGTACCCTCACGCAGGGTGGGCGTCTGCAGACGCCGAAGGGCGTCGACCTTCTGACGGTCAAGGCATGCTCACCCTTGATGGCTAGGCATGATTCTTCGAACACCTCCAGTCATCCACCCTACACGGACCTGACTGCCCAATGCAGACGAGGCACGCCCAGCCACGCTGCCCATGTCTACGCATGGGAACCCCAGCGCGCTGGTACACGGCCGAGGGATGGCTTTCACACGACTCGAAGAGGTATGCAGACGAGACTCTGTTGGCGAGACGGCGTTGGGTATGGCCCATCCCCCTGCACCATGCGCCGACAAGGATGGGGGGAGAGCACCCACAGGATCTCTCACAATCGAAGAGCAGGGGTGCAGGCACGCCCTCCCGGTCCCAATGCCTGCCAACCACGAACATGGGTACCTCACCCAGCGGGAGGGGCGTGTCTGGCTTTCTTCCTGAGCAAGTAATGCCTTTGTTCCTACGCCCTACTAGATCTTCAGCCTCCATAAATGTGGGTATTGTAGCGACCAATCACAATGGGCCCTGCGAACGGTCACAGCCCGTCGGTGTTTGCTGCCAACACGAACTCTTGCCCTTGTTCAGACACCAAGCGCAAACAAACAGAACGGTCCGCCAGTTGCTTCCCGTGTTGACCGGTGTGGGCACTCAAGCACAGCGGTCAATGGAATGCATGTCTCCCATGTCCACCTCGACTGCTGCAGCCTCGTCGCCACAGGGCAGCTGCGCTTGAGGAGTTGGCTCTTCGTCCGGGTATCTGCGCTTCGCAAAGATACAGCCTGTAGCGTGACGACTCGGCTACATTGAACTGTCTCGCTGGGCGTTTGTTCACAGTTCTGAACCCGCTTCCGCTGTAGATGTCTTGACCGCCTTTTCCGAGTAGAGCTATGTTAATGTCTGCAAGATTGTTTGACGGAGAAGCGCGACCTCTGGTAGAAGCTGGCATCCTCATTCAACAGCCAGGACGGCAGTACATCGAGGTCGTCACTGCGCATCGCAATAACCCATCGTCGGTGCCGTCGTTGACTCGCCTCCGCTGTAGTCAAAACAGGCGTAGCCGTTGTTGGTGGGCCCAATCATCAGACGACTGGTAGCCACGCAACTACGGAGTACACGCTAACCTTATCGAACGTGGCAGACAGGCCAGGGCGTCCGCTTGCTGCAGCTCTCCCACTGGGGTGCTGCACGCGGATTCAGATCCGTTCATCCCGTGGCGTTCCGCCGCAGAGGGAGAAGGTGTCTGCGTAGTGTACATGCACCTTGCTCAGTGATGCAGGGGACGTCAGCGGCCGCCACTCCTGCGGGCTGACCAGCGCACACCCCACCCTGATGCTGTCTGCGAACAACGGAGAATGGGGGGCAAGAAGCACACGCCCCAATTGCCCTCGCGTAACGCCCCCCTTCACTCAGGCGCAGGGACCAGGTTCCGGCCGCGGCGCTGGCCCGGCTTCCGCACCACCGGCGTGGGGCCGTCTAACCCCGCCGTGCCAGGGAAGTCCTGGGACGTCATGCTCACCGGAGTGTGGTCGCGCGCCGAAAGCGCAGGCCATCACTCCGTAGGTCCCCGTCGTATCTCCTGGCATTGTCTTTCTTACGAGCCCGCCACTGGTATTAGTATTCGAGCGCACGGCCTTCACGATGTAATGTGCAGTGTATCGAATAGCACACGCTCCTTCCTTTGATGCCATGTCTGCCTCCTCCTACAGCAGCCAGGCGAGAACCTGGCAAGAGCGCCTTGAAGGTAAGAGAGATTTCTCTGTCCCGCGCCGCCGAGTCTGAGCAGCGAATAGATGCCTGCCGAGAGGCCAACATCAGGCCACCTGTGTTCCAAATCGTATCCGATCGGCGAGGTGAGCACACGCTTCTGGCTGTTCGAGCGGTACTGACTCTTTCGCAGGAGGACGCACGGCTTGGTCTAGCGGGGTGACCGTCCACGGGCGCACGCTCTCGGCTCGGTTCTGGTACGACGGGAAGAACTTGCACAATGCAAAGGAGGACGCCGCAGAAATGGCCGTGAACTACCTCACAGGTTCGGGCCATAGTCAGCCGACTTAGATTCAGTGGTTGAGACCCAAAGTCGAGAGTACACTGCACTAGAAGTATAGCACTCGAAGCATCAGCAGCGCAAGATCGGAGCCGGATCGAGATAGCACATCTATGGAATGAAATGAGACCATCCAAGCTTTTATAAGAAATGCAAGGTGACTAGGTAATCCGATTGCTTTTCTGCCTTCGGTTCCTTCCAACACCATTGGTCTTCACACACCTGCATCAGCCTACATCTTTCTTTCCTGACTCGGCAATTGCACTCAACTGGAGTGAGCCCGGCCTGATCTGGGAGTGAGCGATGTTTCCTCCAACCGTGGCCGACATCGTCGACTCGCACGAGCCAATCCAGCTCAGCATCTCAGGTTTTACATTTCATGTCACGAAGAGATGGCGAGAGAGTTTTAGAAAACAAGATTGTGGCAAGAGAATGATTGAAGGTGATCCCGGGTTGCAGGCTTGAATTGTTTGCAAACCGGCCAGGACACCCACCAACTCCACGACTACGAGGATCAAATAGTACCAAGAGAATCCCTCGATCCATTCGCCTTAACCGCTGGTAATTCGTTCCCCATAGCGCCGGCTCCTGGTAGCCCAGTTAGCTGAAGAGGTTCCTACAATGAAAGTGCTGCAACCCTTCTGGCTCACCAACGGCAACCCCCTGCAGGAGATTTGTATTGTGGTCGCGTGGCTATTCAGCCTCGGGCATTCTGCACTCCAGGAGTCCCAATTCGTGGATACTTGGAAGGGGGTGCTGGTGCTGTGCAGAAACGCGTGTACAAGCGGAACTCGGCTGCTCGCGAATTCCATAGGTATTACTGGAGGTTGTTTTTGGACCGCTCCTCTGATACTCCTCCTGGTACATTGAGAGGTCATATTGAGCGATCGTATTTCCAGAACTCCGCGCAGAGGCCTCTATGGAACTGGAGGTGTTGAGTGTTTTCCGTAAGGCAACATCATTCGCGGTCGAGCTAGACTTTTTCAGGCAAGTTTGAATTAGTGTATGCCATCTGCTGAAAATGGGGATACATGGTGTCTGGTACCTCGGAAATATACTCAACATCGACTGGAAGATCGGGATGCCGAGTTTTCTCATGGCACTTGACACTTCTTTTACAATTGGAGCGGAATATACAATATTGGCATCCATATGGACGCACTCCAGTGTGGATGCGTTCATGGGATTGTAAATCACCTTTCCGTCTGAAGCATTTCTCACATGTTCCGCATTTGAAGGGACGATTTCCGGTGTGAATGTCTTCATGGCGTCGTAAAACATCATTTCGCTTGAAGCGTTTGTGACATATTCCGCATGCAAAGGTACGCTCTCCCGTGTGGTTTTGGAGACGAGTGTGGCCCTTGAGTCTTTTGGAGCGATGGCCACAGGTTTCGCATTTGAAACGGAGCTCTCCGGCGTGGTGGGGGACGTGGAAAATGAGATCAGGCATGGAGACCGTGTCTGGGAGAGTCTTGGCTCACCTGGCTTCTTCGTCAACTTCTAAACACACGATCATTAGAATTTCGCCGTTGATCATAGAGAAATTTGGGTCTGCAAGGGGGCAAACTTAAGTTGTCGAAGAGCCGTTGTTAAGACGATCGGTGAACTGGTCACAGTGACGAAAGGATCGATGGGTGCAAATATTTTCCCAACGAGTCGCGGCTAGAGACATGGAGTTCTTGCTATCGAGTGCGACAGATTCCTCTACACGCTCTTATCGATGCGTTCACAGGCTCAGAAAATGTGCGGCTGCTTTTTGGAAAAGAAATAGGGCTTATAGAGTACCGGAAACGGAAGCGCTCTAATAATTATTAGTGAGAATTGGAAACAGAGAAGAACGTGAACTCAGAGGCGACCGTAACTTCTTCATACACTTCCGAAGCACCGAAATTTATGATGAATTGTGCTCAGCTGGGTTACTCCGAGATTGGAAAGCTTGCTATCCGGAGTTCAGCGGCTTTCGTCGACAAAAGGGTAGCCCGACACCCCCAGCGCTGGCACCTCTACCAGTTGAAGGCACCGACCTTGTCGTCCAGCCTCTGCACCGGTTGAACTTCTCTACTTGCCCCCTGCATTGGAGATTGGAGCGGTCAGCTTTCTTTTGCGCGCACAAGGTACCATGACATCTCATGCCTTGGTTTAGCTGCTGTCAAACGCTGCTGCAGCATCATCAAGAAATTTCAACCCTCGCCCTTGTCAGGGGCTGTCGAAATGAAGCAGCCATGGCCCAGGCTGCAACCGGGTCGCCGAGTCGCGCCCGTCAGATTAGGAAGGTCTGCTTGCTTTGCCGGCCACACCGCACTCCTGTCTTCTCCCAGTCTGGGACGGAACTTGGTAAGCGCGGCACCTCCAATTTCTCCACTGAACTGCCTGTCGCCAAGGAACCAGGCATGCCGAAGCAGAGACGCTCAACCAAGAAGCCGAAAGCCTTCAAGACGACATTCTCAGCTGCAGAGCTCCAACCCGGTATGAACTGCTCAATAAATAGCCTGAGGCATCGGAGAGCTTCGGAATCATAACTACACCTCTCTCGGGACTCCCAAAGCTCCTCGGCATTCCTTAACTCAACGCAGGACATCCAACTCTACAGATAGATATCATGATTCCTCCGACTTCTTCCAGGCCATGTGCCTTACCCTACGGAAGTGGAGACTCGAATAAGTCGACACGAAACCCATATGTATAGGAAAATACCGGGGCAGTCAGGGCTACCAACCATGGTGAAACGAGGATGTTGGTATCCCTATCACAGGGTAATTGGTTCGAACCGCGGGTTGACGAAGACGTCAAATTGATATATATATTAACTTCTGCGCAAGGTGTAAAAGGGAGGTTCCAACCGTAGGTTGGGCAGACCGTGGTTCTCGTAAGTACGGTCTGTAAGTGGCCCCTGCGCGGGCCCCTTGCCTCGAGGTCGAATTGGACTTCCAATCCGACAGAGGACAAAAACCTCCAGAGCACTTTGCTAACTTTACATGAGCGGTTTTTGTCGACTGACCACGCTTTGGCTTATAGAAGTCCGGACCAAATCTTCAACGTTGATCAGAGACTTCTTCAGAACGTGTAATTTCTTCTATTATCCGATCGTTGCGCCTTGCATCTCGTACAACAAATTAGGTTAACTCTAGTGCAACGGGCCATGTTTGTCTCGGGGTTGAAAGGGAGACAAGGAAGACAAGATTCTCTGTCTAGGGAAGCACATCTCCCATGAACACTTGAAGAGCTACCAATCAAAGCTGCGGCCGCCCGTCTGCCTGATCCCCGAATCTCGGCTGGTGACTATCTGAATCTCGATGTTGAACGCCGGTCTCGACTCCGGTGACATCTGTATCGCTAGTCGCATCTCCTGCTTTGCCTTTCTCATCATGTGGTCGAAATGGTTTTCTATCCCACCCTTGACTTCGAACTCGAAAATTGCGCCATGACCACGTATATCGAAACGCCACGACTCAATCCGGAAGTCCTTCAGGTCAGCGAAGTCCTGTTTGCCTATCGTTCGCGTCAAGCCTTCCTCCAGCACTGTCTTGAGTTCATTCTCCACGTCGGAAAGGGGTTTGAAAGCAAGGTGACCCCGGGGGGTCCACGGTATCCTGAGGTGCACTGGGTACCGTATAGTAATGCCGTAGGTAAACTCAACCTCTGGTGCAGACTGAACTGTGTTGTTCATACCAGACCAGATTGGCGATCCCTCGCCGCCGAGGATTAACCCATGTGCGACAGCTAAGACCGGATCATAGCTTCTCGCTGCCTCTGCAATCGACTCTCGTTGAGTTGTCCAGCAGTCCCCTCGGTTGGGCCCGTATCTGCGAGAACTTCGTCCGTAGACACGGCGCGGGTACTATCTTCTCCGACTGGCGGCTGCTCTCCAGCAGTTGACTTCGAGGCTCGAAAACCTGGGACGGGCTCGGCTTCGTCGGCAATACTAGATTCGGCTGAGCGAGTGGAATTGGTTCTGAAACGAGCTTCGCTCGCTGACACCGAGGGGCCGTCTGCCGAGTCATCGTTGTCGTACGACTGATCAAATAAGCTTCGAGCTGAGCACTTGGCTACCACAGTATTCTCCTGCTCGTGGAAGGTGTTGGTATTGTTGTCCTGGAATGACCTACGGCTCACGTACACTGTAAGACGGCGTCGATTTCGTTTTGCAGGGGGAGCATCGCGGACAGAGGATGCACGTCGCTTCGAAGACTCGTGTATCGATGCTTCCATGCATGGTGTATGCAGGATTGCCGCGGTGGTTACAGGCGCAACATGTATGGTCTCAAGGTGCCTGCCCACAAGGTGCCTGCCCACAACGTGGCTGGAGACGTCCTTCACCGTACGGTCTGTGTCTTTCGGACTTGGATCGTCGTCTTCTTCGTCTCCGAAGTCTTGGTTGTCTATCGCCTTCGTTATCTGCTTTTCTCGCTTGCTTGAGTATTTCCCCGCCCAGTAAGTCTGGCGACAAAATACTTTGAAGATCGCTTTTCTAATCCTCAACACATCGATGTCAATTCCTGTCCGACTAGATTCCTATGATACGGACTCACTCAGCCTCGTCTTTAGGGTACTGTAGTCTGTGATGCTGGGATGCATGTTCGTCGGACGGCCACAGCTGTTCTGCGTGTTTATTCAGAAAAGCCTCGACAATGCCACCAATCTCCTTCTGATGTTCGGCTAGGTACGAATTGGTGAGGCCTTCGCATTTAAAACTTCTGGCGGCTGGATACTTGTCTCTGAATTCCTTGCACTCGGCTCTGATCTTCTTCTGTTCGCTAGGGGTAGTGTAGCCGAGGTCTTTGAATAGGATTTTGTAATTCGGGATGCTGGACCATCTGACGTAAGACATTTGAGAGCCTGCGATGCAGAGGAACGATTCAGAATGGCGGATATGTAGGCGATAAGAAGGAAAAAAGTGAGGTGAAGTAGGAGTCAGTCGACGACTCAGTTGTGCGAGAACGTGGCTCTTAATACCTAGAGATTGTATCCGCTCCTGGTGGCAAGAGCTCACACACCGTTTAACCAGGTTCGTCCCCTGCTACAAGGCAACAGATCTAAACGACGGGCAAAAAGGTGTTGGCGAAGGAACGGTCGACCGGGACATCGGATCAGCAAGCATTGACGCGAGTCCACCCTGAACCCGGAATCCCACCCGCCTTGCTGCTGCTTGGTTAGAATAAGAGGATGAAGACGGTGGATAGCCTCGTAGTACGGCGGAGTGTTAACCCAAAGGCACATGGTATGATGCATAAAGACGCCGATAGTTTCTAGATTATAGCTGTCGTAATTACATCGTAGCCGCGCAAGGTGATGATGCCGGCGAAAAGCGTACACAACACGCTGGAAGATCGAAACAAAGTATGGTTAGAAAGCACAAATGCCCGGCTTCTGTATCATCCACTCGGTCAGCATGACTCGAGACCCGTTACAAACGAACTTCTTCTTTGAAACTCGTCGGTTTACCTGAGGTGAGAATGCCTCGCTTTGCAATCTCCCATGACCGTGCTCTCCGTCCAAATTACAGCCCTGTCGAATACCTCTTCTAAGCCCATCTGTGCCGATTCATTCCTGTAGATAATTACCTGCCCAGATCTGCCCTCCTCTAGTTACAAACACAAGCTCAGTCATGGGTACCATGAGATGATATCGTTGGCCTCAGCGTCGGTGAAGGTTACGTGCACCCTCACTGCCCTCCATGCTGATACCGCTAAGCCTTCGCCTGACGATGGACATCAGAGGTACGATTGATTGCAGAAGGGCTTTCGCTTGCTCCGATGCGTCCTCTGGATCGTCGTCCTCCCCCATATTCGAAATGATCGTCTGTAGTGACCGCAAACCATCCACCGACTTTTCAAAGGGTGAACAGGCCACTGAGGCCATCAGCTTTTGATCGGCGATCTGCGTCTCGTCGATTCTGGCGATGCGGACGGCAGTTGTTGAAAAGGCAACAAGAACGATCTTTCGTAGCTCAGCTGAACGTGCCATACTTTTTTGACTACAGTGTAGGGTCTCATATGACATTACGTGTTTGCTAGCACTTCTGGATCCTTCTGTGCATCGTCAAGAACCTGCCTCATGGAGGAATAAAGCCCAGGCTCTGATCTGTTCCATTTAGGCCCACTAGGGAAGACTTCCCTTCGTAGTTTGTTGACCCAGGGTACTAGCGGCTGATATTGCGAAGTAAAACTCTCCGTCAGCTTTTGCAGAAAGTATTGCTCGTCAGCAACCACACCCATCTTGAGCTCAGCTAACGTGTTATCGCTCTCGTAGTTCCACCTGTCAAACCCGGTCGGGCCGACGTCCTTACCATTTGCATCGTAATGAATGCATATCCAGAAAAGCACCCAGAAAAACGACTCTAGGTCGTGCATGAACGAATGCTGCTCGCCGAGCAGCGCCCCGATTGCCATAAACGCCCGCGTACCAGTCTTTCCCTTGGCACCAGAGGACCCTTCTCTTGGCTCTCGAATTGCCAGGTCAAGATCGATTAAAAAAGCAGGCCAGGATGGGTTGCGACTGTCCTCATTGATCATGAGGTTGTTGATGGATACGTCTCTGTGGAGAATGCCTGCCTTGTATAAAGACTCGTGGGCATCAATGCAGCATACCAGGGCAGCAAGTAATGCCGATCGAGAGCTTGCCTCGTAGATAGGCTTGCCATAATCCCGGAGAATAATGCGCCGATGAACCCGATTGGGTGGGGTACTGGCGACCTTTGTTGGAGACATGGAGCAGGACCGCTTGCTTGGGGGCAAGGCGGAGTCGATTTGGCTGGAGGGCCGCTTCTTGCTGCTGCCGAGACGGCCCTTCCGCGAGTCATCTTTTACCATCTTGCTTGGTGGTATCTGACGTCCCGGCCGGTAATTCGTCGCTGCCGTGATATCTAGACCATGTCGAACGTTGTTCCAGATGTCATCATCTGTCTCGCGAACCCGGACCGTTTCGTGGTGATAATACCGAGCTACATTTACAATACCTTTGCCCGTCACTTCACGCAGAAGATCGCCTTCCTCATCGCGCTCGGGATATTGCCATGAATCCTTGATGACAAGCGGCGTCTCTGGATGTCCTTTAGGGTGGGCTTTCCAACAAGTCACAGCGCGGCCAGCCACACAACGCGCCCGAAGGATGACCCCATCAATAACAATCTGCTCCGTAGAACCGTTCCGCTGAATCTTGATTAATCGGTCGTTGTCCGACACCATGACCGTTGGATCGAACCCTAGGCCTTCTTCATCAATCCAAAGAAATCCAAGGATCACCAACACAAACTGCAGGCCGTCTTTGTTGATGTCAAACTGCTCTGATGCGAGGGCTCCAAGCCGGTCAAAGGCCCACACCCTCATGAGAGATCCACAGAGCGTGAAGCCCACCACAAAGCGTCGGGTGTCCTGTGCGGCGAGTACTTCTCTCGCATATCTCCCAAGGTCGATCCAGGCTTTGGAGGCGGTGTCGGCAGACGGATTACTCTTTAGTTCTCCAGGTACTAATATTTGCTTCCAGTGGTATGGAGGCCCTCTCAAATCATCGACAAACCCAACATCCAGTTTGCGGTCTGCCGTCGAACCATGCATTGGCGTGTTGGGCTGTATTAAGAGGCTCCGCTGATGTGTCGCGTTGGACTTCTGGGCTTTTGCAAGTAGCGCTAGTGTCTTTACGATGTCGGCAAGCCACTCCAATACGCTTTTTTCGTTCGGATCCCGGGGCCATCCCCTCCAGCCATTTCGAAATACAGGCTCGTGGCCATCAAGGCACTGATCGAAAACCTCCTTGGATGCAGCTTCTAGTCCGTCCAATCTTCCAAAGTATGCATCTCGGAAACCGGGAAGTCCCACGTACATAGTGCCGAGCTCCTCCTTCAGTATATCGTCAACATATCGGCGGTGTTCGGATGAGTTGGTAAAACTGCTCGTGCTCCGCAGCCATGGTGTTTGTTGAACCGAGGAAGCGAATCTTCGGGGGGGTGGCGTAGTTTCTGTGACGGCACTATATGCTTGGTCCCAGATGGTGGCATCATCGAGTTTATTAGAGAAAGCCGCTTTCAGAAGTCGTTTAACGCGATTGAAGTCGAAATTGTCGGAGACTACGGCGGAGATCAGTCTGAGGAGATCACTTTGTAAATTATCGCAGCCCGATTTTGATGGTAGAGATCTTGAAAGGACGTGGCTTTGCAAGGCAAAAAGGAGAGGGAGGGTCAGGTTCCGAAGATCTGTGACTAAGTTAGAGAGGTTAAGCAGCGAGAGCCAGGGCTCGTACCTTCCTGACCGAGTTGATTTACTAAATCTGCAGAATATGGCGTCTTTTCCCTGATACATACGGAGTTGAAGGTACTGCGAACACCATCAAGCCCATTTCCAATGGAATTGCGATTGATCTGTTCTGATAGATCAGTCATAACGGATGGTAGGTGGTCGGTTAGGTAGTGGATGGGGATTTGCGGGCTTCTGCATCTTCGGTCGGCGACGCGGCTGTCGGGAACTTGATATTCCGAAGCCAGCAAAAACACTGCCCAATCATTGGTTCAAGGACGAGCCCCTCTTCACGCTAATCTGATTTGAGTTTATTGGAGATTGCCACTGGCGTTTCCATGAGGGGAAAAACAAGCCGCCGAGCTTACGTGATCCCACTCCCCAGCCCCAATTTCTGTCTCAGCCTCTCCTTTATATTGTGTTTGTCCCACCCACATTGCCTATTCGACACTTCACCGCCGTTAACGTCTTCTTATCCACTCCCGTCTGGCCCCTCCGACACGCACACGCTCTCGTCGGTTGATCGATCTGTCTCGACGAACTGGTCATTCGACTGCTCTTGAATGCTTGCTTGACTCTCTGCGCGAGTAGGACTGGGATCCCGTCGGAACCCATCCAAGCCATGGCCTTTGTATAGCGTCTGGCTTGGATCTGTAACCCGCGGCCCTGGTCATCCTACTACTTGACCAAGAGCCCCCAACGCACCTCGAGCTGGATCGCGGCCACGTCGGAGCTTATCTTGTCCATGGCGACTTGCGAAGGACTCCAAACTCAAATGGCTAGGAAGTGTAATGCTGTGACCAAGTAAGTACCCGGCTTCCTGTCTGCTAGTTTTCGTGCGTGGATACCTAGGAAATTTATCGCAAATGAAAGCGGCACGTCATACAGCATGGCCCAGCGACTACCGCCAGTCGAAGGTTTCCTGGTGTACGAAAATCCAGGCGAACAGCATGAATTCGCAGACCAGGCAGTCAAGTTCACCAGCGCGTATCTGTCACCACAAACAGCATGTTTCCGTCTCACTTTTACAATCCTGGGTGGCGAGCACAACAAAACTGTCATATATCTGCAAATTGCATCTGACAATCTCGATTCGTTCCGTTATGAGACCTGCAAATTGAAGGACGGAGGACTGCCTCACCTAGACGAAGTGCGCAGGCGGTTGGGCCGAAAGGGCGGCAGGGGCGACCTAACTCACCTTCGATTCCTCTTGCGCAATGGCATCCACGTACAGCGCATTGTACCCCATACCCTTCCCGACTACGAGGCTCTCGACGACCCATCTCGGCATGTCCTTGACACTGTTGCATCGATTGCGGCCTCTCCGTCATTCTCATTATACATTCCGGCCAATCGACTATCCAGGAACTCGCTCAACGTTTGCGTCGAAGCTGTTCAGCGATGTTCGGTGTTAACAAAAGAAGAGTTTCTGGTGTATCAACGAGCGGTCCAACTGCAGAGGCTGTACGGTGGCGACGGTGGCAGGATGCTTGCCGTCCATGAAGACGACGCTGCCGTCGATCGTGATCTAGCCGTCGACGACCACGATAGTAGCTCCCGACAAGAGACCGATTCGTGCGCGACATTGGGCTTTGACGTTGTTCCGCGTGATCAGAACTCTCCTCCGCAGTATGACGAGGGCTCCGTCGATGTGAAGAAGCCCATGGCGAGGCTGGCTGACACGGCCCACGTCGACAACTCCGTTATTGATTTTCCGCCGCCGGAGTATGGTGACATCGAACAGGCTCGCGACACGCCGATGGCTCTCAAGCGCGTGCGCCAATGGGTGGATGAAGATGGGTCTCCGCACCCAAGTCCCAAACGTATGTTTTCACTGGGTTCATGTGTCGCGATATCTGCCTCTGCTTCAGTAACGAACGCGCGACGACTTGATGCAAAAAAGAGACTCGATCTTGAAAATGCGAATGTCGACAGCTACATGCTGCTGCACGACTTATCACGTCGAGTTATTGAGCAAGAAAATCGGCAGGTGATACAAGAGCAAGAAAACCACCAATTACGGCATGAGATCAAGCTATTACAAGAGAAAGTCGAACAACTGCAACGGCAGAACATGAGCTCTGAGAAACGTCAAAGCGAGGTGGAAGAGATTTGTGATGGTTTGGAGCACCAACAAGATCTGGTCAAGGACGAGCTGGGGAATTTCGAAGTCCAGATTGATGAGCTGGTAGGGAGACTTGGCGAGATTGAGAAGCAAATGCCATTCCTTCTGGAGGAGCGGGAGGATTTCATGAGACAGACGATTCGGGACATGCTGCAAGAGGATATGATGCGAGACCTAATCGCCGACGTGGTCAAGGAACAGGCGGATGACCGGTCAAGCGACTACGTGGGTAGAGAGGGCGAAGTCAACTTGCCTGGACCAGTGAGAGCATATTTGTGTACAATCGTCGCGGACCAGGTGGCCATGATGAAGGCGAAAATGCGCAAGGCTCTACGAGAGTAAAAATTTGCTATCATATACGGATGTGCTGCAAGGGTGCAAATTGTGCTCGCGACTACGCTGACTAGTCGTCACGCTCATAACTGAGGCGAGCAGATCGCGGGCATTTCCGTGCAGTGTGGCGGGTGAGGGTAGACTGCACACGCGCGACTTCGCATTGTCGAATTCATGCTTGTAGTTACCGCTCAAATCACATCCTGCTGCAACGCGTCAGCCAAGACTAGCGCCCTTTACGAGGGTGCCTCGTTTCCTACTATGGGTGGTGTGGTGTGCTCGTCCTGGGGTTACAAGATCATGGCTCCCGAGGAAACCCTGGGCATATTGACGTGTTTAGACCGCAACGGTGCGTGGCACGTCTAGCACGCGTTTCACCTACCCTATCGCGATCGGGTCTGCTAGGTGAGGCTTCATTTGGGCATACACGACGCCCCACGACCTAACAAGGTTCGAGAGCAAGGCACAAAGCCATTCGTGGGGGCACCATATGGATTTCAGAACATTCCCTATCCCCGATGGCCATACCTCTGCACCAACCCGGCCGATGGGGCGCGTTCGATCAAGGCTAGAAGAAGTTGGGACGGCACACTCATAGAGTACACGCAACCAGACGTTCAAGTCTTGCGAGGTCACGGTTTTGGCCCTAAAGACGCTGCCGCGGCCAAACATCCCCCTCGCCCCGCTGTCCTCTTTCTGGCCCGCATCACGGCTGATCGCCAGCTAAGCGCCCGGAACATCACAGCAGGAATGCAACTCCACTATCGTCACCCGACGCAACCATGATCGGTAGGATGTAGGATCCCTATCTCACCGACACTCTCACCGCGTTGGTGTGCTATCTACGCCCTATCCTGCATACGCACAACACATTGGGACGTCCATGTCGGTTGCGCAGGCTCGACTTCCGGATGTATGAGCCACAGGCGTACTGCATCGTTGACCCACTGAAGGGCCTTGACCGGAGTATTGTCAGTCGTAGCGCACCAGCCAGCACCCCCATGCTGAGGCGACATGCGAGCGATGGATCATCGACGCGAACCTGTCTATCTGTACTACCGCCATTTAACTGATCTATTCGCGAGGTACTCCTGCCAAGAGCCTGGCTTTGGGAAGCATCTTCAGGGAACCCGACTGATCCTGGTGGCGGATTATCGAGCCAACAGAAGATGGACAAGGTCTTGTGATTCCCGCTACGGCAAAACCCACCCTTAGAGCCAGGCTCAGAGAATTCGTCACGGCAAACAATCGCGGAGCATCACAGTGCGGGTTGTCGGCAGTCTGCCAAAGCACGACCTGAAGAGGGAGCTGCTGATCGATACGATGAGCTGCGAATGGTCGATCAAGACTGCATGCGATTGCATTCGTGCGGTCTGCTGAGAACCACGTGAAGCGGACTCAAGAGATTACGCAAAGCTGGCAATGCCTGTTGAGGAACGACCAGCTTCACGAGTCAGAGCAAGGCAGACTGACACGCTTCGGATGCCGCAGGCGGGCGGCTCTGGAGGCGTTCGCCTCGAGCGAAGTACTGGGGACTTTCTAGCGTTCGACGGGTTGCCGCTCTGCACCACCCTTGGATGTACTGCGAACTGCGTGGTACACTTAGAAATGGATCTTCTCCTGCGCGACTTTTGGCGCCCGGTGTGGCGCTGTTCTCCAGCGTGTCGCTAGTCAAGTCGGGGCCAGACGGCGACGTGTGCCCTAAGGGCGTCTTTTTGGCTACCAACCGGCTGCAGCCGCACCTGTTCCCCGGTGTGCATGGCCGTGCCCATCCAACTGCTCCTTCCGGGGGATTAGCCCCCGCAACACCAGCTCAGGAGCCCCTGTCCATCCGTCGGCGCATAGTCCGAACCCTGGGCGAAATCGTTGGGGTGATGACTGTCATGGGCATGATCCGGCGGCAACGAAGCTCTGCCAATAGTATAAATTGCAGGTTCACGTTGGTACGCAATTAGATTTCCAAGACGTGGATGTGGAGAGTCAGCTATACTCCGCTTGTTATGAGTACTATACGGAACACCCCGAACGAGAAAGAATGTGGACGTGCAGCATCTGCGGGCCTAGGGTCCGCATCTGGGCTTTCGACGCTCAGCTCGACTACCTGGTCCCCGCGTGCCCGGCCTACGGCGCCATAGGGAGATTTCATCCTACCTCGACTTTCGAACTTCGGAAGCAACTCTGATGGCCTACTTCGATACCATCAAGCAGAATTTGCAGCCGCCTGACGCCGTATTCGAGGTGTCAGAGGCCAGCATATCGGACGAAAGCATGTCGGACGACGTGATCTTGGAGGAGTTGAACCCGGCGAGTGTCAAATTCGCTGTTGCTGTCAAAAGGCGCAGCCAGGGGCCGAAAATCAAGACGAGAGATGGCACCGAAGTCAACACTGACAAAGCCAGATGGGAACCAGCGCAATGCATGGTGGATGGGACGATGGTCAAGGGCTTCAAATATGTTGGTAACTCGGGGACAGTCTATTTTTCCACGAATGTCAACAACTACTTCAAGTCTGAGAGTACGTTTACTCGTGTATCCGGGGAATTGTTATCAATTAGCTTCGTTATAGTCATCACCATTTGTGTTGCTGTCGCCCAAACCTCCAATGTGTCCCCACGAGAGCAAACCGTCCATTGCCCATCGTCGCAAGCGGACGATTCGGCCGTGCCCGAGACGCTCAGTGGCTGAAGATCGATACTGCCCTCGTCACCGCCGTTTGTCGGACGAGAGCTTGGACTCCTGTCAGAACTGGGAATTGAGTCGCCATCCTCTCGATCAGCGAATGTTCTGCGTGTTTCGTCGAACCTTTGTCACGGTCGCCACAACGTATCAGGACCGACCGTGCAGAGCCTTGCTGTCCGGGTCCCAGCCAATGCAGCTCTCTACATTCCCGGCCCAAGTGTTACTTCCGAGACAACACATGTACCGTCAATCCCAAGTTCAACCAACGATCGGCACTCGCCTTGGAGGAAGGCACCTACGGTTCTATTGATCACGCCGGTTCTTCCCTTTCTGGGAACGAATGGCAGGGCTCGTGGGTTGCGATGTGACATCGCTTTCGATACAGGAGGCCGACAAATGCGCTCACCATCTGCTCTTTGGCTGCGTAAAATGACGGATGGGTCCTTGATCCAGTTTGAGACATGAGACGACTTGCTGTCTGCAAACCACGTCTGGACTTGCTTTCAAGGCGACGTTCCATGGTATTCCGATCTAGGTCCTTTCATCTATACTTACCTCGCCGGGCACAGGCGGAGTCCCATCTGGTCGACAGGGCTAATAATGCTAGCCCCATAGTGCAGCGGGGGCAAAGCAGGAGAAAGGCGAGACCTGATGTTTGCCCGGCAACGCCCCTGTCAGGTTGGCGTTGAACGCCTGGTCAATGCAGGCGGGGCATATTCTGGATGCCGCCCACTTGCCAGTACATCGGGCGCAGGGTGGCCGAAGTAGCGTGCTCTTCAGACGAGGTGACGGCAAGCACTTGGTAGCCTACGCGCTTTACACCATCAGGCCCCTGAATCGTCGACCAACAGAGACAGGCGGGTGGTGGAGCCAGCGGTACGTCTGGCGGCTGCGCCTTATCGTGTTCAAGTTGCAGTGCCGTCGTCGCTCATTTCACTCTCTGCTGTTTTACGGGGGCGGTCAGCTCGTTCCCTCTCGATGTTGCACGTACAGTATGCACACGCTTAGCCACACGACGCATCAGGGTCCATGTCGGCGGCACAGACTTGGGTTCCGGTTGGTTTGGCCAATAGCGAATCATAACACGTGCAACATCACGTGCGTCCATGCTGAGCTTGGATAATTTGGCATGTCGGGCCAGTCACCTACAGACTCTTCCACCACCTGCAACCGAATTAAGACCAAGTAGCCATGACTGCATCTCGCACAGAAGATTCGGTATGCAACATATCCACCAAGGAAAAGGCACCGGCCCTGGATGATGTCACGGTATTTTGTACCAAATGCACGAATGGCGCTTTGGACTTCTCGGATACGCTGTTTGCCAAAGACCGAGCCGATTGTCATGGCAATGCTCTTCAGATGGCATGCGCCGAGGGGTTCTACTGCATTGCTCAGAGACTCATCCTGGACGGCGCAGATGTCAACGACCAAGGTGGATGGTACGGCAACGCCTTGCAGGCTGCATGTGCAGAAGGTCATGAAAGCATAGCCCAAATGTTGCTAGACGACGGTGCCAGAGTCAACGCGGCCGGCGGACACTACAACACCGCACTCCAAGCTGCATGCGCCGAAGGACATGGACTCTTGGCACGTAAAGTCCTCGACAAAGGAGCTGACATCGACACAACTGGCGGGCATTACGGAAGCGCCCTTCAAGCCGCTTCACTCACAGGACGTCGGGAAATCGTACAACTTCTGCTGGACAAAAACGCCAATCCGAGAGCTGGGGGCGGTTCCTACGGCAATCCCCTCGCAGCTGCATCATTCGGAGGACACGCAGGGATTGTCGAAACGCTGTTGAAGGCGGGAGCCGAGATCAACGTGAAAAGTGGTTCTCGCAGCGCTCTCCAAATAGCGTGTTGGGAAGGTAATGGAGATATTGCGAAGATTCTCCTTGAAAAGGGGGCAGACATCAATGCCCACCACGAGTTTTATGGTGATCCTCTTCAAGCAGCTTCTTATAGAGGTAGCATCGAGATAGTACGGATATTGCTTGACGAAGGAGCCGACGTACATTCCGCAGCTGGGTGGTTTGGCAACGCCGTGCACGCTGCCATGGCGGGCTTCCACGCAGAGATTAGACAACTCCTACTCGACCATGCTATGCGAAATTGAAGCCTAGACTTTCGAGCCCAAAAACATCGAGCATCCCCATCTCTGTCCTCGAATGTCTGCTGCCGATTTCCAGATGCGAAATCGGACGCGCTTGTCTCGCACCTGCCAAATGACAATAGCTTTACTGCATGGCTTGCGCAAAAATAATCCATTTGTGCTCGTGACCGGTCCATGGTCTTGATGCGGAGGAAACTCGATAAGTCTTTTGATCGATGGCCACATGAAGGTACCATGGGTCTGACCGTCATTCCGACGGTGTAAATGAACGTCTCCCACCTTCATCAGGATGAAGGTTTCTGCCAAGCCCCATATTCGTCCTGAATTTTCGCAACTGTGTGTTCCATCTGAGTTTCCCTTCCTTCCTATCCCATAACAAAAAATCCTGTAGAGCCTCTCCCACAGCGTTGTCTCGGCCGTCTCGGTACTGGTGCGACGTTACCATCACGATATCGTCCCCATCGCCGTCGACCTGGTAACGGCCGCACCAGTGATCGTCAGAATTCCGGAAGATGCTATCTCGACCGCGAGCGGCCCCGACTGGCCTTCCCTGGCCATCGAAGGTGGACGAAGGCCCGGGTCTTTGTTAACGTTGGCCTGCTCGTAGACAACCAAATCTTGCGCCAGCCGCATCAGACGCACGTGGCGATGAGGATCTGACAGAAGCATTCCCGCAGTGCTTGACGAACTGCACGCCCACTCGGTGTCTTGAAAGGCCACTGTTATCTGACCAGCGCCTTTTGTGATAAAAAACCCATCTCTCTCAAACCCCTCGATCTTCGCATCCTCGGGCACATGCATCCAGGAGAGTTTTCCATCACTGTGTAGTTGCAGCTGCGGCCTCGTCACGCCGATGTTGCACGCCAGGTTCCAGCGGCCCTCAGGTAGCTTGGGCAATGCTCGACTTCCTCCACCCGCGAGTCGGGAAGATGTTTCTGCGACAACGGCTGCTGTCTCAAGGGGTCGATAGGGAGGTGGCGGCAGCCGATGAACTTCTGGTTGAACGAATTAGTCTCAGCGGGCGAATCTGGCCGACGAACTCACGATTGTCGACGTTTATAATGTCCAATGCGTTATGGCCGCACCACTAAACTTGGTGACGACGCAGGCCGGGTGGATGACTGCGACGGCGGCACTATGGAGAAGTCCGTAAGAGGAATGGGCGCATCGGCAGTTTTTGTCTCCAGACTTCGTCGCTGTTTGGCTCGGGCAGTGGTAGGCATACCGACGGGATCATGATAGGCGCACAGAGAGCGCGGAAGGCAAGGTTCCGTAGGCACTGCGGCAAGCTCACGATGTCAACGCCTGCCTGATCACCTCGCCGCTGAGGATCGACTGACAACCCTGTTTCTGCTCGTTGCACTCACCGCCTCGCTGCGGCGGTGCTGCCCACACAGCATCAGAGTCGCTCCCCGCAGCGGCACCCGGGCACAGCCTGGTAAGTCACCCTCCCCCTGCGCTGCGCTTACGGGCGCCCCCAATAGCATCGTCTGCCCATGGTGATTGCTAGGGTAAGCCTGCCTCGGCCTGAAGCGGGCGCTACGAGCGAGACCTACCTTCTGCGTCACAGGGGGTAATTAAGCGCCAGGAGCTGGGACGCCTTGGTCAGCCGCTGGCCGCCACTTGCCACACGCCCAAGGCATGCTATCCCTCCAGCACCGTGCCCAGACTACTGCACTGTGAACGGCTGCCTTCCAAGACTTTTCGCGGAACGGCAGCCACATCCGGAGCGCATGGCTCTCCGCGGAAGCTCCACAACACTATCGAGGTGTTCGTGCGCGTGGGATAAGGGGCCGAGGCACCGGCCGGATGCGCCAATCGGGAGGCGGTGCTTCATCCCTTTGACAAATCGCGTGCCGGGCCAGCTTCTGTATACCGAGAGCGGGAGACACAGTGGTTTCGATGACAGTGGCGCTGAGACTTGCGAAACGGCGTGCCCCGTAAGAGTCTCCTTGCAAGCTACTCCTTAGTGCGCGGCACGATACTGTTGGCGACATGGCGGAATGAGAAAGAGGGGTCGCGTTTACACGAGCAGACCCTCCATTTCCTGGACCGGGTGCTGTACCCTGGTAGGCAGCGACTCGCTCGAGGCACGGCGCAAACACGCAACTCACTCAATTCGAAGTCTGGACAGTGCCCCACATTGAGAAGATACAGTAAAGTATCTCGACACTTTCGCCCTGTCCACGGTCTCTCCTGCATACACAGCTGGTGTCCTGGGGTGCTGGAAAAGTCCACCATTTTCTTCCACGTCCTCTCCGTCACAATTCGGCCTGTGGACCTGCAGAAGCAAGTCATCCGAAAGTAGGTGTAGGTTCGGCGGTATGGTAAGAGGCGGATACAGAGAAATTAACACAACCCAACCATTCTACCGAAGCACATCCTATTGTCAATAGGCCTGTTTAGCAAGACTGGCCGCTCGCACAATTCTGATGCTCCTGCTATCGACGGCGGTGTCAAAAACCTCTTTCAACTCCGGCCATTACGCGCCGATGGAGGCAATGGTCGCACGCGCAGATGAGTCTTGTACACGGTTCCACAGTCCATGTTCTATTGAGCAGCCGAAATCTGCAAGCAGTCTTATTGATCGAGCCAGGCAAGCCGCCGTTGTCGGATCTCAGGGACAGACGGCCGTGAGTCTTGATGTGTTGAGTCCTGCGCTTCATGCCTGAAGTTGTTGAATGCTACTGCCACTTGGGAGACGGCAATAGCATCAATGGATGCCACTTCTTTGACGACCCGCGCCTCTTCTTTTGATGGAGGCGGCGCCACCGCGTGTACTGACAACCTGTCGATGGCCTCTTGAGAGACTTTGTTGTGCGCAACGAAACCCCTCCACGCGGCCGGAAAGTCCTTGCCAGCCCCCTCCCAGTTCCAAGGGTTGCCATCGA